AGGAACCTCTTCCAGGTCTCCCACATGGGTACAGGGTCCCAAAGCATTGGGCCGTCCTCGACTACTTTCCCAGGCCACAAGCAGGGAGCTGGATGGGAAGTGGAGCTGCCGGGATTTTTTTAGAACCAGCGCTCATATGGGATCCCGGTGTGTTCAAGGCGAGGGCCTTAGCCACTAGGCCACGGCGCCGGGCCCTCTTCACTTTGTTTCTTTCGTGGTACAGCACCATTCACTTCATGGATGCAGTACCTGTTGTTTTTACATTTCTTCCTTGTGTTTTTGGAGTCCTACCCAATGTATCACTGCCACACAAAAATATTCAATAAAATGAGTATAGAAGAATTGTGTACATAGAATAAGTCCACAGCTAACATCACACTCAGTGTTGAGAATGTGAAAGTGTCTGCTGTAACATCAGGGACATTGACATTTGCCCCTTCCCACCACCATATAAAATACCACTGGAAATCACAGCCCGAGCAATTAAGCAAGGCATTTCCATATAGAAAAGGAAGACGTTGAATTGTTTTCTGTCGGGGTGTTCTTACACATAGAAAACCCAAAAAACTGTCCTTTAGAACCTTTGGAGCTGATAAAGACAATAAAGTTGAAGATAACACAGACAATACACAAAATCTGTGACATTTCTGTAACCAAAACAAAACAAAACAAAACAAAACCCCACCCAAAAAATAAATGAACAATATTATTTTTAGTAACATGAAAAATTAAAATACTAGGGATATATTTAACCGAGGAGGGTAAAAGAACTGAACACGGGCAATTATAAATCCTGGATGAAAGGAACTGAGGACAAAAATCAAGAGAAGGCTATTCTGTGTTCACTGCTTAACTCTCACCTGCTTTCCTCCTTAAGGTCGCTTTTCTGTTTTCCTCCTATTATGGGTGAATTTTTTTATGTACTACGAACAGTGATTTAAACCAGGGGCAGTTTTCTCCCTAGGCCATATTTGTCAGTGCCTGTATTTTCTTTTAAATCACTTCTTACTGCTGGGAGTACTGCTGTCACGTATTGCGTCAAAGCTAAGAATGTTGCTAAATACCCGGTAATAGATGGGTAGTCTCATGTGACTAAGCATCATCTAGCCCAGGTGTCACTAGTTCTAGGTTGAGAAACTACCTGAAGGTAACATACGTTTTCCTCTATCTGCACTGTACAAACCAAAGCACAGCAGAATGGTTGTTTTGAGGATCTCAGATCACTAAGAAATGTTTTAACAAGAGAAGGACAATGACGAGTGCCCAAAGTTGGTGTGCCTGCTCTTGCGTGTTAAGATTGCGGGAGTTTGTGGTGCTTGGGTTGTGGAACTGCTGCAAAAAACAAATGCTCTTACCTGACAATGATGTTCATGTATTTTTAACAATTATTTTTGGAGTATAGCAACTTACACAGTATTTTATAAATGGTTTGTGATTTTTTTCTGATATTTTCTCTTTATTTGATATTTTTATTGTTATTATTTTTCATGATACGGTTTTGTAGATATGGGGATTAGAGTTTTTTAATATGATCTTATGATTCACACTCAAAATTTCTTTGATTTTGCTGCTCATCATTCATTCCTTGCCTTTTTCTCATTGTAAAATTTCCAGTAGCTCTACCTTTCCCTGCAAGATGTTGAAAGGTTTCATTGTTGTTTGGCTCGTGATTCTATTGAGGCTAATTTAGCTAAATCTCAATTTTTGCCTGAATTTTGCCTTGCTTAAACATCAAACTATTATCACATAAACTATATAGTGTGGTAAAATGTCCGCTTACGTCAAAGTGTCATTGAATTTACACGTTTAGTTTTGGTTATCATATGAAGTAATTCAGCGTGTAAGGGAGAACTGGAAGAATTCACAGGGCCAATGGGTGGGTAGAAATCCTGTCATAGGAACCATGATCTCCATTTCATTATTTATTTATTTACATGTTGTGCTGCATAACAGGCCAAGAGTGTGTTTTCTGTGGAAGAACACATGAATAATTTCCCTAGTGTTCATTGGAGATTTGCCTGAAAAGCAAATAGATTCAAAACATTCTACAGACCATATTTTGTGACCAAAGTGCTATAAAACTTGAATCCGGCAGTTTAAAAATATGTCGCCAAATCATGTACATTGGATTTGTTTTAATTTTGATTAACTTTTATTAATATAAAAATTACAGATTTCTTTAAGCATTCCTCTTTTGATGGACATCTGGGTTTTTCCATGTCTTTGCTATTGTGCATTGTGTTGCTGTAAATACAGGGTTGCACGTCACTTTCTCATATGCAGATTTCATTTCCTTGGATATATTCCCTTGAGTGCCGTAGCTGGATCATATGGTAGCTCAGTTTTCAGTTGTCTTAGCATTCACCCTACTAACTTCCACGGTGTCTGCATTAGTCTTTCTCCTATGCAGATTTCATTTCCTTTGAGTGTTTTCCGAGGTTATGCAGTAGATCAATGTTCAGTTGTCATATATCTACTCCATGGAATACTACTCAGCCATTAAAAACAATTTGCAACAATATAGTCCCAACTGGAGATGGTTATGCTCAATCAAGTAAGCCAATCCCCAAAAGTCAAATACCGTATGTTCCCTGTGATATAAGGCACCCTTCATGCAAAGTACATGAGAAATATAGAGCTGTAGTATATAGCTCTATACAGACACACATATTTTCATAGATGAACTGCATAATGGAAGCTACCATACTGGGAAGTGAAAATATGTTGCAGTGTGCATCTCTACTCTGAAATAAAAAGAGTTCTTAGTGAAATTAGTATGCTAGATTTTTTTAAACTATCTGCTATACCTCAAATGCCATGATACATTTAAATAGCAGAACTTGACTGTTGTGGAAGGATTATATGATATGAGCAAAAACAGCACAAGGGCAGAATGGGGAGGGGAGATGGCGGTAGTATCCTTATATCTAGAAAACAATATTATGGAAAAAAACAAATTTTAAAAACTGCAGATTTTATATATTTCAAAGAACATAAGGATACTTCCTTTCCTCCCTCAAAAAATGTCTTAAATATCTAGTAAAAATTTGTAGAGACATAAAATAAAGCATAAAGAAAATTTTAATCTTTCAGATAGGAATAAAGAGTCTTAAATATCAAAAAAAAAATATTAAGTACAACCAGTACTTAGTGGATTTAGTATGCTTAAATACATATATTAGATAAAAAGAAAGATGGAAATGTAATGAACTTCAGCATCAATTTTAAGACTTTAGAAACAGAAGGATAGGGCCCAGCACAGTAGCTAGCAGCTGCAGTCCTCGCCTTGCATGTGTAGGGATCCCATGTGGGCATCAGTTCCAATCCCGGCAGCCCCTCTTCCCATCCAGCTCCCTGCTTGTGGCCTGGAAAAGCAGTAGAGGACGGCCCAAAGCTTTGGGACCCTGCACCTGCATGGGAGACCCAGAAGAGCTCCTGCCTCCTGGCTTCAGATTGCCTCAGCTCCGGCCATTGTGGTCACTTGGGGAGTGAACCATCAGAAGAAAGATCTTCCTCTCTGTCTCTCCTCCTTCTCTCTCTCTCTCTCTCTCTCTCTCTCTCTCTCTCTATATATATATATATATATATATATATATATATATATCTACATCTGACTTTGCAATAAAAAATAACTAAATCTTAAAAAATAAAAACAGAATGGTGGCATTTTGCCTAGCACGTAGGGCACCTGCAGTCTTGGTTGCAGTTTGTGTGAATTTAGGAGCTTGGAACATACCTGTGCAAGAATTTTGGTCCTTTCTTAAAGGTGAGGAAGAGTGTATGTTTAAATTATTGATCCAACTTCTTTTTCTGTTTAAAAATTTATTCAGTTGACTCATTTTTTATTGGAAAGGCTTCTTAAGCAATCTAAGGTCCACTAGAATGTGTAATATTTCTTCTGAATTTGCTAATTTAAATTTAGAAAAGGTATGTCTTTCTATCATTTCCATTTTATTAAAAAAAAATTTTTTTTTAATTGGGAAGGCAGTTTTACAGAGAGAAGGAGTGACAGAGAGAAAGGTTTGTCATCTGCCGATTCACTCCCCAAGCAGCCTCAACAACTGGAGCTGAACCGATCTGAAGTCAGGAGCCAAGAACTTCTGGGTTTCCCCATGCGGGTGTAGCGGGTGTAGAGTCCCAAGGCTTTGAGTGGTTCTCTTTTTCCCAGGCCTCAGGCAGGGAGCTGCATGGGAAGTGGAGCAGCCGGGACATGAACTGGTACCTATGTAGGATCCCTGCACTTGCAACGCAAGGGACTTCAGTCACTGAGCCATCCAGGCCTTATAAGCTCCATTTTCAATGTGGACAGAATCCATTTGGAATTAGCAGGGGAACAGAGCAGGCTAATGCTTTATTCTGAGTTCTGAATTTGGGTGTGTGTGTGGGGGGGTTGGTGTTAGGAAGTTAGGTAAGTAGCAGAATGAAAAGAATCCAGCATGTAAAGTAAATTCATAGGAGAGAAAGCCTCAAGTTTATTTGTAACTCAAAAAAGCCTCTGTATTCAGAAATCAAATATGGGAGAACTCGCGATCAAACCTAGAAAGGAGGTTTAAGACCTGCATGGAATCTGTTACCTTCTCTTGTATTACTCTTAAAATATTAAAAGAGTGGCTAGGTACAAGAAGGTAGAACAAGAGCTTCTAAAATTCCCTGCATAATTTTTAAGATGCTTTAGATTTATCTGCATATTTTTTTGGATGTGGTGTTAATTGTAATGTGCCAAAAAAAAAAAAAAAAAGGCTATGGGGAAATATGCTTCAGAAGTTACAGTAAACCAAAGCAGAGTATCAGACATTTGGGACTTCACAGGATATTCCTAGTGTTATTTGTAATTGGTGTGAATTCTTAAAATCATCTTTTTGTAAGGTTTCTCATTGGGTAGAATTGCTATGATGTGTGTGTTTTCGTTTAGTTCCATCTTAATATTCTTGACTTGATTTCTTGAATCAAGATTTGTTTTTTGGTTTAAAAAAAATCAATCTGTTTTTTTTCCCCTCCAGTGAATATCACCTCTGCCAGGCAATTAACCGGATGTAGTCGCTTCAGCCATATTTTTCCTTCGTCTGCTTACCAGCACATTAAGATGCATAAGAGAATTCTGGGGCACTTGTCATCTGTTTACTGTGTAGCATTTGACCGAAGTGGGAGAAGAATTTTTACAGTGAGTTTAACATTTATAATAGCATATTACATTTTTACAATTAAAGCTAGATGTCCATGGCTTTGAATTATGTTTTGTAAGTAATTCATCCATTCTAGACATGAGAAGGTAAGAAAAGAACTAGAAATTGAAAATCATTTTTCAACTATGCAAGTAAATGGGTTGAATATAATGCCTGTTCTCTTGAGAAACTTAATTTACACAACGAAGTCTTAAGATGCCTCATTAAAAGAGGTGGTTGATTTACGTGGAAGAAGTATACTCAGTGTATTTTCATTTTGTTTTAGCAAACATTTATTGGAATGCATTTTCCATGTGTCACCTAGCATAATTGCTGCCAGTTTTCCTTAATTAGTGATTATATCACCGTTTTGATTAGATGTTTTTACTGCACAGTTATTAATAAAGATTATGGATATTCTACGAACCTTTCTTTTATTTTACTACTGGTTGTTTTTGAAACTGATTTTTTTATTATAGACTTTGGGGTACAAAATTGAAGCATAGGTGTATTTGGAAGAAATATTAGTTTCATTGCCTTAGTACTAAATTCAGGTAGAAGTACAAGTAATAGTATGATTTCCTTTTTATACTTATATGCAACAACAAAATAAGTGGTTGTACTTGGAAATGTTATGACCCCTTAGAGATCATTATAGACGTCAATTGATGACTCCATGCCTCTAAATGAAACACCAAGTATTTAGTGTTGATGAGCGTAATGATAATGAAGGTCATCTTATAATAAAAAATTATTAAATAACTTACCAGATTAAAGTAAGATGATGTTTACTTTTTAAAAATTCTTGTGAATTTCTCAGTTGGAATTTCAACATATTTATTTTTTTAATGATAAAGGTCAGGATTTTTGTTGTTGTTGCAAAGTCAGACATACAAAGAGGAGGAGAGGCAGAGAGGAAGATCTTTGGTCTGATGATTCACTCCTCAGGTGGCCATAACGGCCGGAGCTGAGCTGATCCAAAGCCATGGGGCCAGGAGCCTCTTCCGTCTCTCCCAGGCAGATGAAGGGTGCCAAGGCTTTGGGCCGTCCTCGACTGCTTTTCCAGGCCACAAGCAGGGAGCTGGATGGGAAGTGGGGCTGCCAGGATTAGAACCGGCACCCATATGGGATCCTGGTGTGTGCAAGGCGAGGACTTCAGCTGCTAGCTACCGTGCCGGGCCCTGAAATCCAATGTATTTTTACTAGAGATTATGAACAGACTCATCTTTATTGAGAAGGAAATATAGGTGTACTTTAGGTTAATTTCTGAAGTGTTTATAGAAAACTATAAAAGCAGTTCAGAAAGGGCATTAGGCTTAATGAAAGAAAAATGTCAGTGCTTATTGTTAAATAAATGAAAAGTAAGTTTAAAATATTTCTGAGTTTCAGGATTGATAGTATTTGGGGGAATTTACAGATAACATTGTTGGTTTGGAGATTGCCTTGTCAGTGCTTTCTTACTGATGTTGTTTACAAATTGCTACTGAATCTGTGCTGTATATAGAGAAATTGCTGAAAAGGAAAGGCTTAGAGTATTAATGCAAAAATCCCTGTGTCTTTTTTTTTTCTTTTGCTTTTGGATGGCAACAGGGAGCTCGCGAAGTTTTTTGTCATTATACATCTTTTGTCTTTAATATAGGGTTCGGATGACTGTTTGGTCAAAATTTGGGCTACAGATGATGGACGCCTTCTTGCTACACTTCGAGGACACTCTGCTGAAATTTCGGACATGGCTGTTAACTACGAAAACACACTCCTTGCTGCAGGCAGCTGTGATAAAGTTGTGAGAGTGTGGTGTCTTCGAACTTGTGCACCAGTTGCAGTCCTTCAGGGACATTCAGCTTCTATTACTTCCATACAGGTAAGAAAAATGATAAAATATCTTCCATTCATGGAATAAAGGTGAGAATTAGCTCTGTTTTGTGTTTCATTGTATAGATAAAATAGCACAAAGGATGCTAATAGGAGCAGCCTGTCTCGGGAGCTTTGCTCCTACCCTGCAGTTAGGTGTTTTTTGTTAATTCTACTTTAATAGAAATCTGTTCTCTTTAGAAATAGATAAAAGAGTTTTAAAACAGTGCTTCAGTTTTCAGGTGAAACATTATATTATTTGTATTTGAAGAAGGGAGAAAGCTTTCACTAACACCTTAGAACATGTCAATCAAGATAGATTCTTACTTGAATATTGGCGTACTCCCTGTTAATATTTCATGCAGGAGGTTTCCGTCAAATTTAATATGTGTGGTTTAATGTTAATGGAAATCCTTTAAGGTGTCTTTTTTTGGGGGTGTCTTTTTAAAATGTAGATAATTTTTTTTAACCAAATATTGATAGTGCACGTCCTGGATATCTGTAAAGACACCTTGCTTAATAAAACTAAGATGGACTTTTGTCATCTTATTTGTAAGAGAAAAACAGGATTCTTGAGCCTGTAGACTCCTTTTGGAAGAGGTAATTTACTTTTCTTCATTTTTTTGCTTTTTATAAATTTGCTGGCCAGATTTGGAGGTATTATTTTGATAACGCTGTATCTGTCTATAATGAGCCAGTAATAATTGAGTTCAGTGTAATTTGTATTTTAGAGAAAGTCCATGTGCACACAGATCAGTTGAGACGTATTTCGTGGACTTGTTTTACATAGCTGTAACTTGTGTTGCTGCTATCAGCTGACTGAGTACTTCTGGAATTTACAGATGCTGTGGAATTACAGAAAATAATGACTTAGATTATACTGAAAAATGCTTGCTGTTGTCTGGTTCTTTTCTTAAATTTGTTTGACATGTTTTTTCTTTTGTTTATAATTTTGCTACCCCAGAGATCTATGTACCTTTTCTATCAATCTTCCCCGTAGTGATTTCATTAAGTCACATGTTTTGAATTTCATCTGTAGATTGATAACCCTTAAACTTATTTGCACATCTTTGCCCTATCTTGTTTTTTTTTTTTTTTTTAACCTCCCTCCTTGTTTAGTCAACTTCTTACTTGGCATCATCGTAAGGACATTTACTGGACATCTGAAGCTCCACAGGCTCAAGTGGAGCTTAGCTTATTTTCTTAGATCTACCCCTGGGAAAGCTTTCCTCAGATAAACAAATGATAATTTTGTGACTCCAAATTGTGCAGAATAGTCATTCCTAGCTTTCATCTTTTTTGTACTCCATTTCTAACCTTTCGTCCAATCACTTTGCTTCTGCCTTCCAACTGTATTCAAAATCTGGCCAATCCACCTGCCTTGCATCATCACTCTCCTGTGTCAATCCACCGTCATCTGTGGCCAAGAGTATTCCAACACACTTTGAATTGATCTTTTCACTACTTCCCTTTCCTGTCCCTGGCAATGATCTGTTCTCTGCACAGTGAACTGGGTGGCTTTGAAATGGAAGTTAAGTCATATAACTGGGGCTCAGTACTCTGAAGAGCTTCTAATGATAGGACTGACTGAAGCTCCAATTTATGTGCCGGTCATAAGACTGTGCACTCAGCCCCCTTGCTCTATTCGACCACATCTACTTCTGTCTGTTTTTCTCCCTTACTTTTTTTCTCCCTTGCTTTTTCTCCTTACTTTGCTTTAGCTGCTGGTCTCTGCTTATTCTTCTTGCTTTGAACACTGTGGATATACCACTACCTTTCGTCTTGCTTTCTGAAATGATCTTCCCTGGATATTCACATGGACTATTCTCTCATTTTCTAAATGTTTTATACAAATGCCTTCATAGGGAGACCTATTCTGACTACCCTGCCATTCTGCTTGATATTATCCCTGCTACTCTGTCTCTCCTTTTCTGTTTCATTTTTGTTCACAGTAATGTGCATTATTAGACATTTTAGATGCTTTATTATTCATTGCCTTTTCCTATGAATATCATGGTATATTATCCTTCCAGGTTTTTTTCATATTTTAGAAAAATTGAAAAAAATATCTTATTAGTTAGTTCTGAATGTTGTGGTTACAAATTGCTTTTATTTTGTTATCCTGTATTTGCTGAATTTTTGTATGACAGTTGTATATGATTAAATATTAGACACAATTAAAAAATAAGCTCTAACATGAGTTCTGTGATTGATGAATGAAATCAAATGTAATGGGATAATAAAGCTTTCAGTGTTTCATCAAACCTGATAAAATTTATGCACATTCATAGTTTATTTTCTTCTTATTATAGGTCAGATGTGGGACAAGTTTATAGGCCAAAAAGAAAATATGTTATGCTTTTCAGGCCATGCAGTTTCTGTCACAGCTGCTCAACTGTGGACTTCTGGTGTAGGAACAGGCACAGTGCAAAATGACAGCACTCATAAAATTTGATTTATAGAAGCAGATAGCAAGCGGCATTTGGTATATAGTCCATGCTTTGTGTACTTTGTTACAGACAGATGAGTAAGCTTCCTAATGTGAACTTTTCTGTTTCACAAGGGAAAAACACGTGGAGGCATGCTGAGTCCAGATTTATTTACTGCAAAGAAATTACTAATTTATAATGTTAAGAATTTTTGTTTGCGTTCGATTCTACGGTCTTGATGCCTTGTGAATCTAAATAAGAAAATGGAGTAGAAAACTCATAATATCCATAAATGATCATTTTCTGTTGATTGAAGTTCAGTGTATACTGTAATCCTGTGTATTTTGCTAATTAATTATTATCTCATTGTAAATTAGTATTTCCATTTCAGATTTGAAAAATTCATGGATATGCTAAAGATTACTCTTTGATTTTCAACTGTTTCCCATGTTCAGTCATCAGGAGTTCAACTGCTCTCTGATTTTTTTTCTGACACAATGCTAAACTACAAATATTCAAAGAGCCTTGGAGGCCTACCTTGTAAAGACCATGGTGTGTCTTGTATAGTGGGCCTTTAAGGGGCAACTCAGTGTATGTTTTTTCTTTCAAAATTATATCACCAAAGATTTGATCTGTTTTACATTATCCATGAAGATAAATAAAATTGGCTTACACTTCAAAAAGAACAATATTAATATCACATTTCATTACTTTAACTTGTGTATCTCAGGTCACTTCTAGTGTTCTGTCCCTCTGAGCTGTGTAGTTGCTACGTTATGTGTATGTTTAGCACATTTGTAATGGCTTAGCTGGTAATGAGTTTGTAAGTTTATTTATCATTAAAGTGCTCATTTAAAAATAATATCAAATAATTCAAAAATAGTTATTTAGGGGTGAATTGAAATTTTAAAATTTATTTGAAAAAGTGACAAAGAAATATCTTCTGTCTGCTGGTTCATTCGCAAAGTGGCTACAACAGCCCTTCAGAACCAGGCTGAAGCTAGGAGCCAGGGACTCTCCAAGTCTCCTGCCTGGGTTATAGTACAGGCACCCAAGTACTTGGACCCTCTTCTGCTGCTTTTCCCTGGCTGGATTGGAAATGGAGCAGCTGGGGCACAAACTGGTACCCAGCTGGGATGCTGGGATATTGTCCTATGACACAGCATGGACAATAATATTTTATCCAGATTTAAAAATTATTTTTCTGTAGGTTTTGTGATATCCTAAATTTTATGAAGTATTTGTCTAGGAAATGCAACCAATTGAATTTTTTAAGTGATCTAATTTTAATTATATGTACTGAAGTGATAATAGTTTTAAAACATGCTGTTTGAAGTTAGTTTGAAAATGAAAACTTTCCATTTGAATCAGATTTTTTTTCGTTTAAGTTTTGTCCATCAACTAAAGGCACAACCAGATACCTCACTTCTACTGGTGCTGATGGAACAATTTGTTTCTGGCAGTGGCATGTAAAAACAATGAAGTTTAGGTAAGTACAGAAATGGTTTTAAAACATTGAGAAAAACAAAGCATTTGATGACCTCGATTTTTCAGTAGGCCATGTGTGTGTCCATGCCTACTTTAACTGGTAGAGATTTACTATAAAATAATTGTAATATCAATATTGAAGAAATTAGTTTGCATAAAAATTTTATGAGGAATTTCTTGTATTTCATATCTTATTTTGCTAAGACTTTGAACTTTCTACTTTAGTACTAGTAATGATGGTAAGTTTATAAAGCTGATCCATAAATTACATTTAAAAGAGTAAATGAGTTTCTAACTTGAATTATGGGAATAGTGCCTATTGACCACTTCCTGTTAGCTTCCTCTATCATATTTCTGCTAAACTGATCGATATCCTGAAGTGTGCTAGTATTATTGTTCATTACATGAGCATGATGAAAAAATGAAAGCATTTTTTTTTTTTCTCTTTAGAGATCGTCCAGTAAAATTTACTGAGAGATCCAGACCTGGAGTTCAGATATCTTGTTCATCTTTCAGCTCTGGTATGTATAATGTTTTGGGTTACTCAAATATTAAATGACCCAGTTTTTATGAGGAAAGAACTATGTATCTGAGTGTTAATGGGAGTGTACAAAAAGTGGACATGCTAAATTAGATGAGCCTTTTTGAATTGTAAGTAACATGTCTAAGCAGTGAATTTTTCTAGCTAGTTAATTAATATCTTTTTATATAATGCAGAACTTAATTGATAAAAGACAAACAAAAACCCCTGGATCTCAGAGACCCACTAGCAGAAATGTACAGTATTCTCTGACTCCGTTCAATGAAATATCCTGTCCTGATTTTGCAAAACATATGTACATTGACACCATATAAATTGGAAAAGACAATTTTACAGTGTGTGTTCACAGTTTCTTGTTTTTTTTTTTATTGTGGTAAAACATACACAAAATTAGCCATTTGAACTATATTTAAACATATAGTTCTATGTAGTAATATTCACACTGTGCTATATCCATCACTACCATTTATTTTTAGACATTTTTGTTGTTTTGGGAATGATTGAGATCTTACATTTTATCCACCACAGTAGTCATTATAAAGAGAATTCTGGATAAAAGTCACCTTAAAAGTAATATTGAAATGTTGTATGTACATCATAGAGAGATGAATTCAATTCCTCAAGGCCTTGGCCTTCAATACTTGTGATTCATAAGTCTGCATTTACCACGCATGTGGTATATTTTATTAGTTAAAGGAAATATCTATCTAAAGTATTCCTTTTCTGAAATTTTGCACTATTTTCTCTGAAAAGTAGGTATGTAAAAGAACACAATCTGTGTTGCCTGAAGGCTTCCTAATATCCTAAGCTACTAATAACTAATGAAGCAATCCGAGGGTTTGCAAGCTCCATGGTACTCTGTTTTCCTTGTTTTACTTTTCCAGGTGGTATGTTCATTACAACAGGTAGCACTGACCATGTGATTAGAATATATTATCTGGGTTCTGACACCCCTGAGAAAATTGCTGAACTAGAATCACATACGGTAAGAACAAAACGAGAAACCTAAATATGTTAATACCTTTGGAAAGTTGGCTTTATTTTTGCACTGTACCCTATTTTACTGTATGTTTGTACTATAGCTTTTATGGCAAGATATATTTTTAGTAATAAAGATAGTATGAGGTTCTGGATTTATTGTTTTTAATTTTTAAATATGTGTTCTTTAGATTTTCATGAAATATGCATGTATCTACATAACTATTATATGTATCCCCACACATGTGCTATAGGCATGGTTTTTCAAAATCCTCTGTTTAACCTGTATTTTAATTATAATCAAATTTTAAAAGATTTTTGTATTTTGATAATAAATTTATTTTATTTTTGTTGGTGTTTACATAATGAAGAAGGACACATTCCCATGTGGACCACTGATTAGGGTGGGGAGGGTCGAGGCAATGGGGTGAAGCAGATGAGACAATTCTTTCCAATCTCCTGTTTTCTGTGGAAAGTGGACAGAGTAGGGGAGAGGGCTGCTCCCAGCAACCTAATGCATCAGTAAACAGGGATGGGGATAGCCATCTGATGTCATCCCAGGGTCCCCAATGTGGAGCATGCTCCAAGGGTCAAGTGGTTTTGATGGTTCTGAGGTGCTGTTGATTTCGTTGCTCCAAGGTTGAGGAAATCCTTCCAAGGTCCATTGGCTGATACAGTCCACCTTTGAATCTCCACTTGCCCAGATACTTGCTGTAAAAGCTTGGCCAGGAGAGCTGTCAACTAATGTAAAGATTATTTATTTTGAAAGGCTCAGTTATACACACACAAACTGACTGAAATAGCCAGAGCTGGGCTGCCATGAATCTGAGAGAGAGCCAGGAGCTTATCCCGTATAGCTGCAGGAGCCCATGGACTTGCCCGTGGACAGCCATCCTCTGCTGCTTTTCCAGGCCAGTAGCAGAGAACTAGATTTGTGTAAAGTAGAGCAGCCGGGATGTGAACTGGCTGGGCCAGACCAAAGCCAGAAGCTTTTTTCAGGTATTCCCACATGGGTCCCAGGGGCCTAAGCATTTGAGCCATCTTCCACTGCTTTTCCAAGGCACATTAGCAAGGAACTGGATCAGAAGCAGAGTAGCTGGGGCAAGAACCCGTGCCCACACACTATTGCAGGCAGTGAGTGGCTTAACTGAGTATACTACATTAATAGTCCCAAAAGTTATTTGTGCTGAATTTAGTTTATTGATCTTCATGTGATGTTTTTGATGCAACAAAGGCTCATAAAGTCTTAATTCCCCTTAGTTATCAGTAACAATTTTATGTACAAGAAAGTGTATGATTGGGGTGAAAGCCATTGCTGGCTGACACTTGTCCTTTTGGTCTATCCCAAGTTGCCATTTTCAGGAGGATGTGAGCATTGTTGTTTAGTTATATCCCTTTGTACCTTTGATGAAGGTCTTTCTTTTATCCACTGAATAATTCTTTGCTTTTGTATGTGGAAGTATTTTGTTTCTGTTCTGTGTTCTTTTATGTGCTTCATTGTCAAAGTTACGCAGTCGGTAATTTAAAATACTGAGCTTTACCAAGTCTTAATATTATTGTTATTTTTTACACTTAATTTGAAATAGTGTTGGTATACATTAGTAATGTAAAAAAAATTCCCTAAAATATTTTAAAAGATGCTTTATGAGTTGCAGAATTGTATTTATTTCAAATTACTGTGAGTATCCTGCCCTAGTTAATAGTTTCAAGTGTCATTAGTTTTTTCTTTTAGAAAACTAGGGGGTTAAATTTTAGTTTTATTTATTTGTAATTGTTTTAATTTTTTAAGCAGTTTCAGTGTAGTTCATAGATACTATTCTGAGAATGTGATATTCCCTTTCTCCCTCCTTCGTCTCGTCTCTCACCCTACCATTTAATTTTTCCTTAAAAGTAGATTAAAAATTTTCCCCCTTGATGTTTGTGTATGAATTTTAGGGCAAGAGCATTGTACCCCATCTTATTTAAATAAGTTCATTTTAACCAAAAATCTATTGTTTTATATCTTAGGACAAAGTTGTTGCTGTTCAGTTCTGTAACAATGGAGACAGGTAACTATTTAGTACATCTGGTAATTTACATGTTTAATTGCTAGTTGCTCAGAAGTAGCTACCTCAGCTGTCGACATCTTAATTTCTGTCCACTTTTGTCCAAAGCTCTTTTCTGTTTGGAAAATATCCTTACCCTTCTAGCTCATCTAAGCAGTAACCAATCATCGATCAGTTCTTCCTTTCTAAATGCTTACTTTTATTTCACTCATTTTGTTCTTTCCATTCCGTTTCTGTTGCTACCCACGTTAGTCAAGGATTCTAGTATTTGGTCTGTCAGTCCCTTCCAGATCTATGTGGTTCTGTTCAGAAATCTTCAGGTTATCTGCTGTATCTCTGGAGTAGAATGCAGATTTTGGGGGGGGAGGGGCGGTGGAGAGTATAGAACCTGACATTCAGAGTTTCCCACAAATTGACTTTGACCCACATTCTTTTCTCATTCTCTATTTCCTGTATAAATCTTTAGATTCTGGCCTAATTGATTTACTGATATTGTCGCTGTCATCTGTATATATTATCTCATCATTCCTTTGCTTATACTTTTGCTCAGCATTTCTACCCAGAAATGCCATTTTTAAAAATCTTCCTTTAATCTTTTATTCCTGCATCCTCCCTCTCATTTTCCCCTCTACTTTCCTCCCTTGTATCTAATTCTTCTCTTCTTTGAAGGGCCATGCGCTGACTTAAATGTTTTCTGAATGTTCTAGCTTTTAGCTATTGGCTTTCTCTGAACATTTGTTTATTCTCTCTACTACTCGTGTGATACATATCCTCCTCTATGTTTGTAAATTCAGAAATCATATATCGATATCTGTGCACCTTCTAAAATGTATCATGCTAAGGTTGTAATTTGCTCTGCTGTAAAAGCTGACCTAGAATAAATTTAAGACCGTAGCTAGTTTAGCATAAATTTGTATCCTTATGTGTATAGGAACTTTATCTGGATATATTACTTTAAAATGATTTGTTCTTAAATATTTTTGGACTTTGGGTGATTTTAATGATTAATTTGTTCACATTGTTAAGTGTGGAAATTAATGACCCACAAAGTGGTGTGTATTGTAGGTTGCCTTAACTGCACTATATTGAGTTGCATACTAGGAAGTTTGCATAGCCATTACTCTTTCATGTTAGAAGAATCTAAATTTTAATGCCTTGCCTTTTTTCTTTAAGAATAAATACTCTATCATAAGTATTTATGTTGCCAATAGATACATAAAGGATATATGATTTTACTAATAACTAAAGAAGTGCAAATTAAAAACAACAGGAACATTTTTTTTCACAATGACAATCTAAGGAAAAGTGATAATGCCCAATATTGCCAGGGGTTTTAGAAAAGCAAACTCGCTCCTATAATTTTTGTCAGCAATTTAGCTATATCAAAAGCTTTAAACATTTGTTTAACTCAACAAATGTACATATACCATTGTTATACATATATATATGTAAAGATATAAAGCACAACATTTATGTTAGTAAAGATGAGAAATAACGAAAATATTGATCGTTAAGACATTTTGATGCATTTATATATCTGAACTTGTAAACATAGAAATGGATTTACAAAATACATGTGGAGTAATTCTATTTCCTGTAGGGGAAAAAGTATTAGTTATAGGCATCTATTTTATAGAGCCCGGAAGAAATGTAAACCATTCGTAATGACAAAGTTGTAGATGAATGAATTTATTTCAAAATAGCATGTTTGTTTGGCATACTTCAGATAGCATAAAATGGAATGTTTTTTAATGTTTGTATGTGTGCAACTGTTACCACAGTTAATTTTAGAATATTTTATATCTCCCCTTCAAGAAAACACATCTGTGACCACGTAATCTTCCCCCTGCTTCGTTCTGGGTTGCCATTAGCCCCTCTTTGGCTTCATCCCTGTACCTGTTCATCCGTGTTACAGCGTATGCCATTATTTCATTCTTCTTTGTTGCTGAATAATAGCCCATTACATCAGTGAACCCCATTTTGTTTATCCATTTCTTTGCGATAGGCTTGGCACATTCCAGATAAGGCTGACATGAACATATACATATACATTTTTGTGTGGATTGGTGTTTTCATTTCTCTTGGATACATACCTGGAAGTAGAATTGCTGGGTAACATGGTAACTCTTGTGTTTAGCATTCTGAAGAACTGACAGGCTGTTCTGAAATGATTGTAGCCAGTTAGGTTTTCCCTAGTAGTGTATGTGTTTGAACACAATACCTTTATACACGGAAAAGAAGTTATTTCATTTCCGGTATGGTGGAAAATACTAAGTTTACTTTAACTCTTTCTTTCTAGTTTAAGATTTGTTAGTGGAAGTAGAGATGGAACAGCAAGAATTTGGCAATATCAGCAGCAAGAGTGGAAGAGTATAGTGCTAGATATGGCCACTAAAATGACTGGGTAAGCATGGATATTAGCCATTTCACTATGATCTAGTATACTGTTCTTTTATATTGCATGTGTGATATATATTACATATTATGTGTTATACATTGCTTCAAATTACATATTTGTGCTTCATGTAATAGTGAGCACAAATATATTTTACAATAGCAGGAGTTTTTGTATCTAGTTGCCTTTTGCTGTTGTTAGATGAACACTACTGACTGGTTTGTAATTCTGCTGTGTTGTGCTACTCTGATCCTCACAGAATCATGTTCTGAGAGACAGAGAAAGCTCTCATCCATTGGTTCACTTCCTAAATGCTCATAATGACTTGGGACAGGGCTGAGACCGAAAACCAGGAACTCAATTCAGGTCTCCCACTTGGGTGGCAGGACCCCAACTAATGGAGCTGCAGTTGCTTCCTGCCAGGGTGTGCATTAGCAGGAAGCTAGAACTTAGAGTGGAACTGAGACTCAAAAGCAGTTCCTCTGACGTTGGATGTGGGCGTTGGAAGCCATGTGCTCGCTGAGAAACCGGCGGCCTGCCCCTGTCTGTGTTGCTTTCTGTTTTGGAGGTTGTCCCTGTCACGTGTCGGTATATGTTTGCTTTTTTTTTTTTTTTTTTAATTTGCTGGAATGCGTTTCTCATTGTTAGCGTTCCCATGCTTAACGCAGTGTTGCACGTGCGCTTAATAAACATTGTTTTCCTTTGCTCTGTGGTTTTTAGAGGATAAATATTTGCCTCATTGGGATAGTATATTTTTTAAAGTATAATTCTGAAATTAAGCTTTTCTCATTAATGAAGTGAGAGCTGACTTTGTAGCTCCAGCCAACTATTGATAATATCATCCAATTGGGAAAAAATTTTTTCTTTTAACAAGTCTTAGTTTTTAAGAAAATAACATTTAAAGGGATAACATGGCTAGTGCATGTGTTTGTATTTTGTGGTGGCCACTATCACCTTGTAGTTTATTTTTTAGGTTAATTCCAGATTTTTTTTCCTTCCAGTTTCTTTTTTGTTTTTCTCAAGTAACTTTTTGGTCAGGTTTAAGTCTTCTCCGCCTCCCCTCCTGCCCCCTAATAAGTTTATGAGCATTGCCCTATCAGATATCTTACTTTTTTTCTTTCATTCACACTTAAATGTATAGCTCGGATATTTTTGTTTCAACTATTTGATGTTGAGAAATAGTATTTTGATTTGCTATCTTTTATACACCGTTGTTAAAAATCGACAAAGTGTGAATATTGTGAATTTTCTGTTCAGGAATAATCTGCCATCTGCGGAAGACAAGGTCACCAAACTTAAGGTGACAATGGTGGCGTGGGATCGCTATGACACCACAGTTATTACTGCAGTGAATAATTTCCTCTTGAAAGTGTGGGATTCTTTTACAGGGCAGCTTCTTCATACTTTATCTGTAAGTATTTTATTTGTCATTAAAATGTTCAAAAAGTGTACTATTTTAAGGTACAAAAAATTTAAGTGTAGTTTCTTCTGTTTGCATTAACCCTTGGAGAAGTATTTATTCAGGGGGCCTTTCTTGACCTGTCTGCCAAATGGGATGACATGTGGTTTAAAAAGCATTTGAAAGCTTTTCAAGATCATTTCCAATTCTAACATTTATTCATCTATTATGTTACAGTATTCAGTGAAGGATATATACATTATTTTGCTATTGGGGGAGGAAGATTTTTCACTGTTAGTGTTTTAGAGGGATCCTGTGTATTCCATCTTACATGAATAGTATATTCGAGAAGTATAGGTAAAATGAAGAAATAGAGAAATATTGCTCATTTATTTTTCTTTTTAAGATATATTTTTTTTCATAGTCCAGTGCTGCAGCAGTGGTGTTTATAGCAGAAAATGTTCATAGAAGCAATAGGAGAATTCACATGGGTGTAACTGATGTTACTTTCTTGTGATTGAATTAAATTGTGTTTGAGAGCATTGTTCCTTATCTGAGATCAGTTTATAAGTATTTGAGGGAGAGTAGGTTGAACAGTTGCTGTATAGTTTAGAAAGTGGTAAGTGACAAGGTTTAGACCAGCAACTCAGCTGCTCTTTGATCCCATAGCATGTGTCATCCTTATTTGACTCTGTATGAGATAACCTCAGCTTAACACCTCTGAGGTTTCGAAAGATTTGTTTGATTTCAGGAGTTGTTTCAGTTGATCTTTCAGCAGCCCTCTCAATTCCTCTTTCCTGAGTAAAATTAATTTTTCCTTTTATCTTTGAGTCAGTGCTTACCTCCTTTTGGCTTTCTATGTTCCTTGATATTGAATTATCTGTTAATATGTATGGAAAAAAAACTGGATTGTTTGCTTGATTCTTCTTTCAAAAATGTCTGTATCAGTATGCTCCCAGTGGGAAGAGAATGTAGAACATATATGTATTATTAATTTTTCTGGGAGGTGTAGTTACAAAATTAACATGTTGCAAGTAAAAATAATTGAAAAAATACATTTTCCAAAATATTAGCATTCTAATTTGCAATTAGTAAGGAAATTATAATGGATCTATTTTTACATTGCTTTTTTAAATGCTGAACCTTTGAAATTTAGTGTATATTTCAACTTAAAGATACCTAGTTTGGACTGGCTGCATTTCAATTATTTAGTAGTTATATGTAGCTAACGGCTACAGTATTAAATAGTACAAGTTTGTCTAAAAACAGAATTTCAAAAGCTCTGCTGTCATCATTGGTTTTATATATTCATGTAAAATTCTATCTTAATAAGTACCTTAATTTAGATTTCTGTTTTGTGGCTCTTTCCATGGTTTTACATCTGTTTTCAGTAAATTTTACTGAAGAAATTTTAGAAGAGAAATCCTTGTAACAGTCAAGTCTACTTAATTTTGATATATTACTTAATTTTTCATTTGTAGCAATTTTCATATTAGGGTCTCAGTGGGGCTCAAAAAAGTCTTCTATTCAGCAGATGCTTTTTGACCATCAACTCAGTTCAAGACACCGAATTAGATGTTAGGAATAAATGGTAACTTAAGCAGACCCCTTTCCTGCTAGGGTTAACAGGCTGTTAAGTGGGAACAAATTTTGATCAAATTTTAATCAAATTTTAAGGAAGGGAAAGTACAAGAGGCTGCAAGCTTCTCCCAAGCTGTCCAAACCTTAGGAATGGGGTGAGAAAGCCTCTCAGGAAAGTAAAAGCTTTGCTTAGGATTTAAAAAAAGCGAGAATACCTAGAATTCTTTTTGGATGTTACTTTTTGGATTAGGCCTTCCTTCATCAATGAATTCAAGATACCTTTCCAGTCTTTGTATTATTAGATCGACTTGCTGTATTTTTATCAGTGTTTGTCACTATCTTGTAGTTTCTTGGAGGTTTTAAATTCCTTCAAGGAGTCTGGAACTACATGTATATAGGTCCTGAGGTCAGGCACAGAGACAAGTCACACCAGAAAAGATTGCAGTTAACAGGGACCAGAATACATAGGGTCTTGTCGGATCTGTTAGAAGACTGGTAGGAAACCATTAAAGAGTTTTATGGAATTGCTTATGAATTTTGCTCATGAAAAATACCTTAAAATTCTTGCTATGATAGAGGGGATAGAATGGAATGGGATAGATGTGCTTGTAGGTTGTGCAGGTAGATTGTAGGAGTGAACAGTGAGCCAAATGATAGTAGCCACAGTGAGCCATTATAATACTTTAGATTCATTTAAAGATCTATTTATTTTTATTGGAAAGGAAGGTAAGTTTTACAAAGAGAAGGAGAGACAGAATATTGTCCATCTGAGGGTATGCTCCGCAAATCGCCACAGTGGCTGGAACTGAACGGATCTGAAGCCAGGTGCCAGGAGCTGCTTCTTAGTCTCCCATGTGGGTTCAAGGTCCCAAGGTTTTGGGCCATTTTCTACTCTTTTCCCAGGTCACAGGCAGGGAGCTGGATGGGAAGTGGAGTCGGGACACGAACCAGCTCCTTTTTGCGTTCCTGTTGCATGCAAAGAAAGGGTTTAGCCATTGAGCCATTGTTTCGGGCTCATAATAATTTAGATTTTTTTGTGGTGGAGGTGGTGTAGGGAAATAGAACTCTGCTTATTAAGTACAAATATGCCAGATGATAATCTTGGGACTGTAATGATTTTGATTAGGCTTTTTGTCTCCCATGATCCACTCTCCAAACACTTTCCAAGACACATGACCAAAAACACGATTTTCATTTAAAAGATTTTCCCCCCCAAATTTACTGAAACAGTTGTGTTTTTATCATTTGAATCTAACAAGGTGATTTTACCACTAACTACCTAAGAACATGACAAAATATTTACTATATCAGAATGATTGTTAAGCCTGGAGTTTTGTTAAAGCAAGGAAAGAACTTCCCTAGTAGTTAGTCGGAAGAGCTTGGGTAAATTTTCAGTTGTGATAGTTCCTGTTCTATTGGAATTATATTTATTTATCTTAATACTTCTACAGTTTGAGCCAGTCTGAAACTGTCTTTTTACAAGCTGTGTGTTTGTCCGTAATGGTATTTATATTTTGGTACCATGCTTTGAGATTAAAATGCATGTTTGAAGTTCACAGTATGAACTTCATTTCTAGAAGCCCCTAATATATGGTGTACTGGTAATGTCCCAGAAAAAGGCAGATTCAGAGTGTTCTCTCTACTTTTCTAAGACTTGGAGACTGTTGTTAAAATCATATGCCTTCTAGCCAGCTCTTAAGTCTAAGAGAAATCATTAGTGATCGAAATTAGGAATTGGCAAATTTCTTTGAGAGGCCAGATTGTAAATGTTTTAAACTTTGCACATGTAGGTTCTGTTGCATCTTCTTTGTTTTTTTATGTTGGTTTTTGTTTGGTTGTTTTTGTTTTAAACAACCATTTAAAATTTAAGAGCCTTGTCTGCCCCCAATTCCAGCTCATGCTGGTGGGTGCTGCAACTTAGCCCTGCCCAGCCAACACCCAGGCCTGGCCAAATGTAAAGTGGATGGTGTTGTGGCTTGAACTGTTCTATCCAGCGTCTTGTTCTGGTTGTCAAATCTGCCCATGGGTGTTATGAACTGACCCAGCCTGGCCAGCCCCCAGTCTTGAGCTGCACATATGCCCATACCTGGCCTGGTCTGGGCTGCTCCCAATCTTGATTCTTACATTCACCTGCAGGGACTGCATCCTGACAAAGGAGATTCCCCAGACTCCTCTATCAGGTCTCCTCTCAGTGGCAGAATTCATGCATACCTGTGGGCCCTTCATCCAGGCTGACTTCGTCCATCTCCTGTCCTGGCAGGAACAATGGCCTTGCCCAATTGTCCCATGCCCATTCTAGTACTTACTGTTGGGTGTTACGGCCCAGACACAACTAGTCCATGCCCAGAGACGGTTCTCACATGGTTAAGCTTGAGTCAAGACCTAGTCCAGTCTGTCCTACACCCACCTTGGCTCTCAAGACCAGTGGGTTTTGGAGTCTAGCCCCATCTCCTACCTTGACTTATGCCATTGGATGCTGCAGCCTGCCTTGTTCTGGCCTGCTCCTAATCCCAATTTTCGCTGGCAGGTGCTACAGCCTACCCCTGCCCAGTCTGCTCCCATCCCTGACTCATCCAAACTGGTAGGAGTGATAACCTGCTCTGACATAACCTATATTCCAGCCTGGCTCCTGCACATGGCATTGGGCTAAGATTGACATGGCCCTCCCCAGTCTACCCGCTCCAGAACCAATCCACACACTTGCGTACGGGTTGAGCCAACTCGCTCAGCCTGATCGGGTCTAAATCACATGCTCACCAGCAGGAGCTGTGGCCCCCACCAGAGGAATTTCCTAAGCTACCTCACCAGGCCCAATCTCAGATCCAGATCTCATATATGCTGATGGGTGTCAGGTCCTTACGCAGCATAGTCGGTCCTCTCTGTAATGGTCTTTGTGTGAGCTGGTAGAGCACCTGAAGGTGCTGCAGTCTGGAGCAGCCTGGCCTGTTCCCAGTCCCAGTACCTGTGAGTATTGGAGGGTCCCATGGTCATGCCTAGCTCAGTCTGTCACCACCTCCCCAGCTCTTAAGCAAGTAGCAGAAATTGTAGTTCCACAAGGGTGAGTCCACATATCCTCCACAGAATCTGCCACTAGAGCTTGTGTTTTTACATGCTGGTTAGTGTCATGTCCCAGCCCATCATAACCTGTCCACTGTTCCCACTCTCACTGTTGGGTACTGTGATCCAGCCCTGTCATTTAGGCCCTCAGTTCTAGCTGTAGTGTGCACCAGTGAGCGTCAGGGGTAGCCATACTAAGTAGCCCAGCTTAGGTCTCCCACATGGGCTGGTGCATCAGTCTGACCCATCAAGGTCAGATTGAAATCTTCCCGCGTCCAAACCACTCACTCAGCCCCCTCCCTTACCTGCAAGTACAGTGGCCTTGTCGATGGTAGTCCCTCAGAAGTTATTCCTCATCTGCAACACACTCCCTCAGCGTCCTCCCTCACACCCATCTCTACCCGCTTCCCTGATCAATCCACAGTCCCTGCGCCCAGGAGCATATGGCCTTCCCCAGCTCAACCTTCTGGAGCCGAGTCTTCCAGTGTGGTGGTGTGCTTGCCTGGAGCTCTTGCCCACCCATTAGAGTCCCAAGTTCCTGGCACTTGTGCTGGTCTGGGACCTTACCCCTCTGCATACACAAGTTCCAGACTTATTCAAAGTTCCTCCCAGTCCACCAGCACTCCAGTTGAGCATGCTAACCTAGGGCTTTTTTCTCCCTTCGCCCTACCGTGCGGAGTGTCAAGCAGGTGGGGAAATCCCGTGGCTTGCTCTGCCTGCCTGGACATAATACCCCAGGTCCCTGCGTGGCCCCGTCCCCGGCGCCATCCCCTAGGCTTCCTGCAAACTTGCCAAGTGCAAAGGCGGCAAGGTGGACCCTGCCACATGGTGCAAAGGCCTCAAGCATTTTTATTTTTTTTTTAAAGATTTATTTTTATTATTTTTTATTGGAAAGGCGGATATACAGAGAGGAGAGACAGAGAGGAAGATCTTCCATCCGATGATTCACTCCCCAAGTGAGCGCAACGGCCCATGCTATGCCGATCCGAAGCCAGGAGCCTCTTCCGGGTCTCCCATGTGGGTGCAGGGTCCCAAAGCTTCTCAAGCATTTTTAAAGCAACAGATTTATAGATCAAGAAACATTTTAATGGAATCCCCTAGTATAAAGCAGATAAAGAGCAGAACCAGTGTCTTTGTCCTTTGCCCTGAGCTTTGGGTCTTCTCCCAAAATATAATTTGAATATCAAAGATAAAGAGTGCTGGATGAAGAACAACACAGGATTATCTGTTGTCATTGTGGCAGATTTGGGTGTTAATGAAAGACTCTGCCATGTTTTTCTGTGGCCTTTTATTTATTTATTCATTTTTTCCTGCTAATTTCATTTATTTGGTTATGTTTATTTTTTATTGTTCTAATTTTAGTTTTTATTTTATGATACAGTTCCATAGTCTGGGATTTCCCTTGCCCCCTCCCCAAACTCCATCCTCCAGACTGATTTTTGCCGTATTTTAACAATAGTATAGTCCTTCATAAGCAGTCATAAGCCTGTCATTCTGCTGTCTAAGTATATCCTGACATTGTGGGTCCAGACAGTGGCAGACAGTACAGCATCCTATTGTGACGATATGCATTTAACAATTACATTGGGAGGCCATCTTTGGTTTGGAAGTAGAAATGCATGCTGAATTGTATCTTCACATTTGGATATGATAGTCTATTATACAGTTACTACACATCCCTTAAATGAATAGCCATCCAACAAAGTCAACAAAAGGAGTAAAGTTTAAAAATGTACAACACCATGAATTTAAATAACATGCTACTGAATGACCAATGTGTTGCTGGAGAAATGAAAAATTAAACCCTCCTGGAGAAAATGATGCTATGAGTCATTGAAGAATTTAATAATAGAAAAGAAACTTTGAAGAAATGAAAATAAAGACAAATATCAAAACCCATGGATTGCAGCAAAAAAAAAACTTGAAAGGATTTTTGATTTTATCTTTCGCATGATGGTTTCCTTAATATCATCAGGGAGAACATATGATATTTGTACTTTTCGGATTGACTTATTTCACTGAGCATAATGGTCTCTAGTTGGGACCATTTGATTACAAATAGTCCAATTTCATTTTTTTAATTTTAAATAACAAAGTCTAAGATAACCATATTCCTCTTCTGGGCCAGGTTCTTGTTTTGTGTGTTTTGATTATCTTTGCTTTAAACATATTTTTGGTTCTTTTATTAAATACTTTATGATATCAGCAATTACATAGATTATGGAGCTTTTGCTAAGCTATTTTGTTAATGTAATGTCCATGTGATAAATGCTGTTAAATTTATATGCATTAATTTGCCTAAACCAGATTGATTGTACTGCCAGGAACTTTTGGCCAAATCAATGAGATCATTGGCATTGCATTTCATTTTAATCTTTATTTTTATCACAGGGACATGATGATGAAGTATTTGTTTTGGAAGCACATCCGTTTGATCAGAGAATCATACTTTCAGCGGGCCATGATGGGAACATTTTTATTTGGGACCTTGACAGAGGGACCAAAATTCGAAATTATTTTAACATGGTAAGGAAAATCTATCTTCCTATTAAAATTAGTTTTCTTAAATGATAATTTTGCAATTAGAGTCTGATTTATAGAAGAACCTCTTGCTATCAGTTTTTAGCTCAGTAAAACAGTTCAGGGAATGACTGAAAACCTGAGTAGAACCATTTGAAAATTAGGCCTTTCACAGTGACTCCAGTGTTAGCATTTTGCAAATTCTGGTCCCTAACTCTAAAGTCCAGGAACTCAAATGTATTAAGTTTTGCAGTTAATACCTATTTAAAAGCACAAGAAATTTATTATTTTAAGTGTGATTTTAATTTGTGAATTACAACATTGATTGTATTCCTTACAAATTATGGGAAAGTTTGGTATTCTGTCTCTTCCCCGTTAGAATACATTTCTTTTGTGATGGGTTTACTTGCATCCTCTGTATTTTATGGTTTTTTTTTAAGCTTTACTTTATTTTAAAGGTAGAGCTACACGGAATCTATTCCATCCACAGGTTCACTCCGCAAATGGCTGTAACAGCTGGAGATGAGCTATTCCAAAGCCAGAAGCCAGAAATTTCTTCCAGGTCTCCCATGTGGGTGCAGGGGTCCAAGGCTTTGGGTCATCCACTACTGCTAGCTGGGACTTAAACCAGCACCTATACTGGATGCTTACACTACAGTTAGAGGCTAAGTTTGCTGTTCCATGGTCCCAACCACTTAAGCATAGTCCTTTTTTTTTTTTTTAAAGATTTGTTTTATTTTTATTGGAAAGATTTACAGAGAGAAGGAGAGACAAGGATAAAGATTCTTCTATCTTGTGGTTCACTCCCTAAGTAGCCACATCGGCTGGAGCTGAGACGAGCTGATCCGAAACCAGGATCCAGAAGCTTCTTATAGGTCTGGTACACAGGTGTAGGGTCCCAAGGTCTTGGGTCATCCTTTACTGCCTTCCCAGGTCACAAGCAGGGAGCTGGATGGGAAGTGGAGCAACTGGGACACAATCTGGCACATGCTAAGCAAGGATTTAGCTGCTAGGCCATTTCACAAGGCCCTTTTTGAGCATTGTTCTAGTTAAACATTTCTAAATTGTTGTTTAGCTTGAATATTACTTGTATAGACTTTTTGGAATCCATAACATTAAAAATATCCACCTTCTTTTGTTGCTAAAATTGACTTGTATGTTTTAATTATGGAATGGTTAGGTTATAAGGTTAAAACTTAATTGCATTTCGGTTTTTGATACGATGATAGGTGGTATCTTTGTTGTTAATTTGATTGTGCTTATGTATTTTTTAAGATTTTATCTTTATTTGGAAGACCAATTTACAGAGAGGAGAGTCAGAGATCTTCTGTCCGCAGGTTCACTCCCCAAATGGCCATATTGGCTGCATCTGAGCCATTCTAAAGGCACAAGCTAGGGGCTTCTTCTGGGTCTGCCACATGGGTGCAGGGTCCCAAGGTCATGAGACATCATCCACAGCTTTTCCAGGATGTAGGCAGGGAGCTGGATTGGCAGTGGAGCAACTGGGACCAGGACCGGGTTTTTCATATGGGATGCTGCTACTGCAAGGTGGAGGATTAGGCTGTTGAGCCACTGAACTGGCCCCAAGTTTAGATCTTTTCAAACTTCTAAAATTTCATAGGGTGTGATGTTGGTAGCAATGATTGAATTCCATTCATTGGAATGGGACTGTTCAATTACTTTCACAGCCTTCCTGTTTTCAGTAAAGTTTCGGCTACAGAAGCCAGAGAATGTATAAAGTATTAACCAGTTGAGGTTAATGGCTACATATATAAAATTTAATTGTATTGTGACTTAAAGAATATTCTCTGAATTTCAGATTGAAGGCCAAGGCCATGGTGCAGTGTTCGATTGTAAATTTTCACCAGATGGAAACCATTTTGCCTGCACAGATTCTCATGGACATTTGTTGCTTTTTGGTTTTGGATGCAGTAAATACTATGAAAAGGTTAGTGTATTTAATGTTTGTTGTTAACTGAAATTTGGGATTATATCATACATAAATTTTATTTGACTTCTGCTTGTAAGAATTGTCATGTGTCATTAGATCTCAAATAAGAAAGTTGCTTTTCTTGGTTAAGCTTCCCATCTTTCCAGAACATCAGACATGGCAGTGTGAATGGCTTTTGAGATACAGCGAAGGTGACAGGGAGATGCTGTTAATTATAGCATATAATGTACTGCCTTAAAGAAATAATGGGAGAGTAATCTTACCAGTTTGCATCCTCTCCATGTAAATTGAGAATAAACAGCAAGTGACTAGTTGTGCTTATTTTCTTGGCTGGCTATTTTACTTATTATTGATACTATTAAAATAGCTTGGAAGCTCACTTAATTGGTGCATTATATTTTGTCAGCTATACATTTTGGATAGATTTTATAATTTTAGAGTTGTAAAATACTCAGGTGCATTCAGATTGGTTAAGTACTTGTATCACTTTCGAATGCATTTTTGTTTTTACTTTTTTATTTTTATTTCCATTTTGCAGTTTTGTAAAAGTATAGGGTTTTCCCCCTTTCCCTCCCCTTTGTCCATTGTGTTTCACAATAGTATAATCCTGGAGCTATAGTTTTGATTTCAGTGTTCTGGTTCTTTACACGTGACGTAACATTGTTGTTTATAAGCAATGGTAGAGTAGTATGTTGTCACGGTATATTTAACAGTTTTATTCGGGGCCTACTTTTACTCAGGAATGGAGATACATAATGCAGTTCTTTGATTCCTGGTACTCTAATCTCAATTACATCGTTCATTTGTGAAATTATAAGGGTGTACTTGTGTAACTGTATATCTTTTCGCTTTGTATCTTGAATGAAAGTTGTCTCAGAACATACGATCTTTTGTCCTTTCGCGTTTCTAATGAGATATTTCCTGTCTCTGTGTGTATTTTGTCTATCATTTGAATAAAAATAAGCAAAATGTTATAGTCAGGTTTCCTGGTTTTTGCAATTTTAATAAAAAATAATTTTCTAATGGAGTATTTCTTTCTATTTTACTTAGAAAAATATGGTCCAGGGCCAAAAAAAAAAAAAAAATCATGCACATTGTATGATTTTATAGAGAAGGGAGTGAATTACTTAATGTGCTTTTATGGCACAAAGGCTAGAAGAGAATGCAAGAATTGTCTGATATGGAAAATGCATTTGCTCCAGGGATGAAAATAGGTGCTTATTCACACATTTTGCATCTATGTGTAATACTATAAATCTCATTAAGATTCCAGATCAGATGTTTTTCCACACGGATTATCGGCCTCTTATTCGTGATGCCAATAACTACGTATTGGATGAACAAACCCAGCAAGCTCCTCACCTTATGCCTCCCCCATTCTTGGTGGATGTTGATGGAAATCCTCATCCTACCAAATTTCAACGGCTAGTACCGGGACGAGAAAATTGTAAAGATGAACAACTAATACCACAACTGGGATATGTAGCTAATGGTATGTTATTTGACAAAGTAAAATTAAACTATTTCACCTGTATTTAGCTTTAACATTTAAATGTAAACCATGAAAAGTCATAGCTTTGCTGCTGTTCTTTCTGGGATAATGTCCCCACCATTAAACTCTGGAGTTCACTGTTCTGTTTTTCACCTACTACTTCTATTGGATTTCTGTTGCATTGTGCTTTTTACCATATCAGAGTACTTTGTTTTAACCTCACCTGAACACAGAGAAGTAAGTCAGGACAAACAGAACCGTATGCTCAAGCAAGGAATATGTTGAATCATGTTGATAGAAATCCTTACTGCGTGTAGGACCCTGTTCCATGTTATGTTAGCTTTTTTGTCACTTTAACTGCAATGTCTGAGAGGAGTACTTAAGAAGGAAAGAAGGTTTGTTTATTTTTCTAGCTTACAGTTTTGGAGATTCACAGTGCACATCAGGTGATGAGTTTGTCTTAATCATCTGGAAAGGCTGGCATGTTGCATGGCAAACCAGGAAACAGGGAGACATTGGCGGCACTCTCCGAGGCTTCTCATTATAATCTATAGTTCTCTCTTGGCGCTCCACCCTGGCTATCTAATCCAATCACTTTCCAAAATCCTGCCTCTAGGTACCAGGATTGGGGTATCATTACTTCCTCTTCTGTCGCATAAGTTAGCATAGGCCTTTGGATGTTAAATATCTCCGTGAGACTGGGGAGTCAATTCCTGTTGAAAACAAAAAGTGTGCTATTAACTTTTCACGATGACCTCAGTGCAATAACCTAATGTCTCAAATGCTTGTAAGTAGTGAAATTGCATTCCATTGTGTTGGTACTTCAATTGACAGTTCATAGTTAATATACCCAAGTAGAGGAAACTCCAAAAAACACAAATTAGCGATTTACTAATTGTCCTGTTTGACATGCAGTTATTTGATTGGTACATGATAGAACAGATAGTAGAAGAAAATATAGGAGTGATCTATTTTTTTTTTTTTTTTATCAAAACCATTTGTTCTTTCTGATGGTCACATTTTCACTATTTATGCTGCCATTTCCAACCCCCACCTCCTCCTGTTCCCTACCCTACAGAATGCTTTCCTATCTCAGTTGGGTACGTACAGAATTTTTTTTCAGTTCTAAGCTAGTGAGGTGTTTATTTCCAAGTAGATTTTTATTTGCTAGGGAACTAGGGAATTAAGGCTTGACTTGACCTTTGCATTGAAAAACCACAATGCCCTTTTACATCCTATGTCATAAAGCTTTGTAGAACAATGAAATGATGGTTGACACATGCCTGTAGTCACTCTCATGGTGCTAAATTTATTGAAGACGAAAACAAGTGAGTATTAAATGGGTGATAAAACTGAAAACAATTGAGCAAAATAATTTGTGATTTATCACACATTGTACAATCTGATGACTTCTTTATTAGATAATGTTTAATGTGTTTGGAAGACAAATGGGAAAATAGGGCCATAATGTATTTAAGAAAAGATTGGAGGATGTCTTTGAGAAGCAATCATGTATCATGAATTAGTTTTTCCTACTTATCAACACTCTGTGAGTTGTTTATCAAAATGTAGTATTTGAAAGAGCGTACTTTTGACTTCTCTGAGAAAGGAAATATTCACATTTCAGTTATTTGAAGTTGAACTTGTCAAAATCTTACTTCAAGTTTTATTCCCATTAATTCTGCATATATACTATGCAGAAATATATTTTGTAAAATCCATGATTAACTTTGATAAATTATTTTTTATGGTGAGAAGGTCCTTCTAATACCTAATTTGGAACGAGTAGATATATATATACAGTATATAAGCTGACATATCAGCAGTTTGAAAGTTCTTTATGAATAGTTTTTGATGCATCATTTGCACGTTGATCCTTTTTTTTATATAAAAAGTGGCAGATTAAGCTTTTTATATTAAATCGTAATTTTGTGACTGTATCTTGTTTCTAAGGCGATGGTGAAGTGGTGGAACAGGTGATTGGGCAGCAAACTGCGGAGCAAGATGAAAGCATTCTTGATGGAATAATAAGGGAGTTGCAGAGAGAACAAGATATGAGACTGATTAACGAAGGAGATGTTCCAAATTTACCAGTTAATAATAGATCACACTCTGTTAATGGTGGTAAGCATTTATATATTTTAAAAATATGGATTTGTGAAATATGTATTTTAATTATTTCCTTGTACCAGATAATTAATAGGTCACACTCTGCTAAATGGTGGTAAGTATGTATATATAAAATATGTATTTTAATTATTTTCCTTGTACCAAATAATTAAATCTGTAAATGTTTATAAATCAAATCATATTTTTTTCTTAATATTGACTTGTGATATCGATATATATGAAGTTGCTAAGATACTGTTTTCATTTGTGATGAAAAATGACTCGGTGTCTCCTAAGAAATTTAGCTGGTGTGCTTTAATATATTGTTTTCATCTACTCAGTAATTTATTTGCAATATTCACTTTTAAAATGTAAACTTTTGCCCTTTTTCTGGTTGATTGACCTATAAAGTTTTCAAAACTAAAGCCACCTTGAGTTTAGAAATTACCACCCTCAAAACCTATTCCTCCTTTATTGTGAGGAAAGCAGGTTAATGCCCTCTTCTCTTAAATTTTCAGAAATAGGGCCTGGCGCAATAGAGTAGTGGTTAAAATCCTCACCTTGCACGCGCCAAGATCCCATATGGGCACCGGTTCTAATCCCAGTGGCCCTGCTTCCCGTCCAGCTCCCTGCTTGTGGCCTGCGAAAGCAGTAGAGGACGGCCCAAAGCCTTGGGACCCTGCACCTGTGTGGGAGACCCGGAAGAGTTCCTGGCTCCTGGCTTCGGATTGGCTCAGCTCTGGCCATTGTATTTACTTGGGGAGTGAACCATCAGACGGAGGATCTTTCTTTCTGTCTCTCCTCCTCTCTGTATATCCATCTTTCCAATAAAAAAAAATTTACAAAAATATACTGAAGACAAGGAGTCTTTTAGAGAATATAAATGCAACTTCTGAAGTAACATTTTAAAAAAGATTTATGTTTGAAAGGCTGTTTATAGAGGAGATCTTTCACCCTCTGGTTCATTCCTCAAATGACCATAGCAGCCAGATACAGGGCATTCTGAAGCATGGATCCTGGAGAATTGTCCACATTTCCCATGTGGATGTAAGGTTCCAGGGCGCAAGGATGTGGGCCATCTTTTGCTGGTTTCCCAGACACATTAGTATATAAGAAGTGGAGCAGGTGCAACATGAACTTGCGCCCATAGAGGATGCCAACACCTCAGGTGGAGGCTTATTCCACTATATGTCACAACAGACCCCTCTGAATTCAGTTTTACAATAGTTTGATTTTAAGTAGCATGCAAATTCACTCTGACACCTGTTTTAAAATGAATATTCCCGTCTGTTGTTGCCTCTTCCTTCGCTTTATGAAATGTGCCCTTTGCTTCTGACTTTTATATAAAACTTATCAGTTTTATCATGTTACTAGTCCTGCTTCAAAATGTCGTCATTTCATGGGAATCTGGGCAGATGTGGATCTTTTTATATTTAATCAGAGTAATTTAATTGGGCAACATGGCAGTTTGGGTTTCATGGAAATTAATAAAGTGATGTAAAATTGAGATGGTTCACAGAGCATTCTGCCTCTTTACAGATTTTTTTTTTTAGCCTTCCATAAAATTAAAATATATTCATTTGGGTTACTTGGAGTATCCGAAATGAATTTTACAGAATCTGGAACAAGATAAGTGGGCTGATAGTCTTATATACACAGGTTCTTTGTTTCTAAAACAAAAACATTTCTTATGTCTCTGATGGAGACATCCATTAATGAAATCAGTATTCAACACTTTCAGTGTTTTTAAAGATTTGTTCATTGGCCCTGGTGCAATGGTTCAATTAGCTAATCCCCTCCTTGCAAGTGCCAGGTGGCATATGGTCACCAGTTTGTGTCCTCGCTGCTCCACTTCCCGTCCAGTTCCCTGCTTGTGGTCTGGGAAAGTAGTGGCAGAACCTTGTGACCCTGCACCCGCGTGTGAGACCCCTGGCTGCTAGCTTCAGATCAGTTCAGCTCCAGCAGATGGAAGACCTTTAGTCTCTAAGCAAATATTTATTTATTTTTATAGGAAAGAGAAATTTTTAGAGAGGAGAGAGGGAAGGAAAAATCTTTCATCTGCTGGGTCACTTCCCAAATGGCCACAGCAACCATAAACAACTAGCTTGATAGGAAGTGGAGCAGTCCGGACACAAACTGGCACTGGTTGGTGGTGCTTACAGGTGAAGGATTAGCCAATTGAGCTGTCATGTCAGCCCCTCAATCTAGGTTTTCTCTGTATAGTCTTGAAGTGCAATTAGTCATAGGGGTCCCAGATTTCTATTTGTAATGTTCATTTATTTTTTCCTGTTTTTATTTTAGCAGCTGTATGTTTAGGTTGCTTGTGTTTTATTTACCAGTGTAAATTCTATTGTTTAAACCATTAACAGTATTTTGGGAGCTGTATCGATGCTTTATTCTGAAACACTTTAAAGGTATATACAGAAATAGAATTTATATTAAAAAACTGCATCCTGAACTGGAATTAGTAATATTTATGGCTTTTCCAAGTCATTTTGAATATATTTTTTGTTTTCAGTGACTGCTTAGTAGGTACCAGATACAAAAGTGCTTTGGAAGAAACCAAAATTCTAAGCCATTTTTGAGTGCCTGCTTTATTCATTCGAGTACAGACAATGGAAACAAAGCAATGACATAATCTCTAGTAGTACCATCTTTGAATCCCCTATTTTATAGATTTTTGACTTGGAAAACTTTGCTGTATCTCCTCAGAAAGCAATGCTTTCAAATATTTTTGTTTTAGCTTTGAGAAGTCCAAATAGAGACACATCATCGTCTGCCTCCAATGTGGGGCTCCGACGGAGTGGTCAGATTGAAGGTGTCCGGCAGATGCATAACAATGCTCCTCGTAGCCAGATGGCCACTGAACGTGATCTCATGGCATGGAGCAGAAGAGTGGTGGTCAATGAACTCAACAATGGGATTAGTAGGTAAGTGAGTTGCATAACATTCTGGAGAAAATCTCTGGCCTTTTTTTTTCAGTAAAGCATACTTTTTTATCCTAGTAATTAAGGTGTGCATTTTTTAATTTGTTGAATCCTGTATTCGTTTTTCCATGCTATCCCAATTTGTTAACTAATCTGTAACAAAAAGTTTCGATGAGTGTCTTTAATTTGTTCAGATTTGCGATAAATGCTTTAGGAAATCTTGAAAATGCAAAGCATGAGTTCTGGTCTAGGTAAGAAGAATACAAATATCAAGTAAGAACTCATCTGAGGTCCTATGTTATTGCATAAATGTGATCCTAATTCCAGTGTTGGTTCTGAGGATAAGATCATCAATTGAATTTTGTAGCAACTGGGAAGGCCAGTGTAGATCTGTTCTGAATTGTAGTACTTAGATCATATTTAGAAATTTAAACACATTAGATGAAAGGATTTCATTAGATGAATTTCAAACATATAATCACACATTAGTTTTATGCCGTAATGTTTGCTATAAAATCAGTAGCAGTTAGAACTTGAAAAGTCTTCAAAAAGTTTGCGAGAAGTACATTATTAAAAAACTGAATTTTAAAAATGTCTGCTGCAGAAATAAAATTCTCTTGTTAGATTTTTCCACGAAGTTTTAAAAATAGTCCCATAGATTTAGAAAAGAGAACATTGGCAGAGAACATACAAGGTTTTGCGCCCTAGGCACAGTAGTTCCCCATAACTTTTACCAAATGAGCCAAATGTTGGCAAAGTTAATTTGAATCAACTTTTTCTTTCTTTTGCTTTCTCTTGTAAGTAGGTAGCAATACTATGAAAAAAGAATACATGGCTAATTTATTTATTCACTGTCAACTTCCAAAGATTCTTCATTCAAAATTTCAAAAGTATAATTGGATACTGTTGCATCAGTGCTCATTGCAGCACTGTTGATAGTAAGAAAAGGTAGAAACAACTGGAGTGTCCATCAACAGATGAATGGATAAAAATTTGTGATATACCTTAATAAAATCTAATTTTGTCCACCCATAAAGAAGAAGGAAATTGTTACCTGCCACAATATATGTAAATGTTGCAAATGTGTTAAGCTAAAGAGGCAGACAAAAAGGCATGTATTGATGATTCTAGTTATGTGGGATATCTGGACTAGGTAAATCAATAGAGATATGAAGTGTATCAGAAATGATGGAGTGAAGGAAGGGGGAAGTGGGGAATTACTGCCTAATTGGTTACTGAGTTCACTGTTGGAATCAGTGACAAATTTTGGAAAGATAAGGGGAGTCGTTAGTTATACAACATTTTGAATGTTGAAATAAAGTGGTTAAAATGGCAAATTTTCCATGTGGAAGTATTTTGGTTGTTTGACTCTTGAAGGATTAGTTTCCTTTTTGGTAACTGTGTTGCTCTGACCTTTGTTACTAGGGTACAGGAAGCATGTCGAACTGCAAAAGGTGACCTGGAGGTTAGTCTCTATACAGTTGAAAAGAAGAAAAAGCCATCTTATACTGCTCAAAGGGTACGTTTCATTTTAGAGTATTTGCAGGTATCAGATTTTTGAGAGGCGGCAATTCTGCTTTAAATAACTATCTTAATGGGTGTATTAATGCAGGAAATATGCATGGTTATTATGATGAATAATGTTACACAAACCTATTATTATCTCCCTTCCCTCCAAAAAATCTAGGAAATATATAATCACTGTAGGTATAGAATTCTTGTGTTAAAATACTTTTTCCATATATGTAACTTTAAAAGTGTTGCTTGATCACTAACCATAGTAGAAAGCAAATTCTCAAATACTATAGTCCAGAGCCGGGCAGTTACGACCCTTGGGCTAAGTCCAGTCTCTATCCTGTTTCTGTTCATTAAGATTTATTAGAACGTGGCCACACTCATTTTTCTCTTGTCTTTTGCTGCTTTAATGTTATACAGAGTTGAGTAATTGCAGCAGAGATTGGATGAACTGTACAGCCAAAATTATTTATGCTTTGAGCATTTATACAACATTGCTGCCATTGCCATAGGCTCATTCCTGCCCTATCTAATCATGTAGGATTAAATTCTGATCTCTACATATGGAAAGTGCTGGATTCATGTTTCCAGTAGAAACCACTAAGCTGTGAATAGGATTTTTTTACTCTGTTAAACACATAACATAAGCGTATTAGTATTTTCATGTTTACCATACAAGCAGCAAAGGAGTGTGTGGTCTTACTCCTACATCTAATCACAACTTCTGTAACATGTGGTAACTTCAGAGCCTAGAATGATTTTTAGTTTTGTTAGTGATCCATTGTTCCACAACTTTTATTTTTTTTTTATAACTTTATTTTTAAGTATTTATGTAAAGGCAGAGTGATAGCCAGAGTCAAGGAGGGAGACTAAGGGAGAGATTTTCCATCTGCTAGTTCACTCTCCATTTGCTCACAATGTCTTAGGCCAGTCCAGGCTGAATGCATAAGCGTGCATCTTCATCCTAGTTTCCTGTGTAGGTGGTAGGGACCCAAGCACTTGGATCATCCTCTGTTGACTTCACAGGCACATTTGTAGGTAGGTGGATTGGAAGTGGAGCAATTGGAACTTGAGCCAGTGCTGCCATGTGGGATGCTGTCATTGTGGGGAGTAGTTTAGATCACTGCCATAATGCTGGCCCCTATACACCCCCTGATTTGCAAATTTTTTTTTTCAGTATTGATAATTGCAAGGTTAGGTCTCTTTAAAAAGATGAATATTTTTTTGTAAAGTCAGAGTACCAGAGAGAGGGAGATAAAGAGATCTTCCATCTGGTGGTCCATAACACTGGCCAAATGGCCACAATGGCCAAGGCTGGGGTAAGCCAAAGCCCAGGGTTGGGAACTTTACTCAGATCTCCCACATGGGTGCAAGGATGCAAGCACTTGAGCCATCTTCTTATGCCTTTTTTTCTTTTAAAGAAAAATTTATTTTTACTGGAAAGGCAGATTGACAGAGAGGAGAGACAGAAAGATCTTCCATATTCAGATTCACTGCCCAAATGGCTGCAATGGCTGGAGCTGAGCCAATCTAAAGCCAGGAGTCAGTCTTTCATTTTTCCCATGTGGGTGCAGGGTCCGCATGTTTTTAACCATCTTCTCTGCTTTTCCAGACTGTAAGCTGAGAGTTGGGTGGAAAGTAGAGCAGCCAGGATAAGAACTGATGCCTATATGGGATGCTGGCACTTGCAGGAGGAGTATTAGCCAATTCAGCCATTGTGCCAGCCCCTTCTGCTGCTTTCCCATGCACATTATCAGGGAACTGGTTTGGCAGTGGAGCAGCCACAGCTGGAATTGACACCCATATGAGATGCCAGCATTGCAGGCTGCGGCTTATCCTGCTAATGCCACAATACTAGACATAAGAGTATGTTCAGATTTTTTTAGTTGTTTTATTGCTTGCTTGGTTCAGTTTGTTTTTTGGCATAGTTGATTTTCTCTGGTAAGGTTATTTTTGATGATTTATTTCTTTGAAAGCAGAATAATAGAGAAGGGGGAAAAAGAGATCTTTTATCTGTTGCTTGAATCCACAGATTACTCTTATAGGCAGGATTGAGGCAGGGTTGGACCAGAGTAAAGCCAGGAAGCAGGGACTCATCCAGCCCTCCAGGTATGGACAGGGACACAAACACCTGGGGCTGTTTTCTGCTGCCCAGCTGGGTGTATTGGCAGGGAGTCAGACAAGCTAAGACTGAAATGAGTTTCTCAGTAGGGGATCCCGTGTCACTGGTGGTAGCTGAGCAACAAGACTGACTGACTTAAAGAGATTAACGATTTTTATTCTTTTCCTTCCTACTTAGTCAATTTGTAAAAAATCAGACATGTCCACAACTGATAGGACGCTTAGTTCTGTAGATTTTTATTCTGAAAACAAGACTTTTACATAGAAGAATTTTACTGCTTTTGAAAAGATCAGTTTATTTGAAAGTCAGAGTCACAGACAGAAGAGAGAGATCTTGTATCTGCTGGGTCATTCTCCACGTGACTGCCATGATTTGAATGAGGCCAGAGCGGAACTCCTTTCTACTCTCCCGCGTGGGTGGTAGGTCCGTACCTCTTGGGCCATTTTCTACTGCTTTCTCTGGTGAATCTATTAGGAGCTAGATTGGAAGTGGAGCAGTGGAGACTCAATTGTACTCATATGGTATTCTGGTTTAATGTACTGAGCCACAATGCTGACCATAGAAACCTGGCCCCTGATGCTAATTTATGAGACTTTTAAACTTGTTTACTTCTGATTTCATGTTAGGTTTCACCTTTGCCATATCGTATATTAAATAATAAAACTTAACATTTGTAAAAGTGAGAACAAAATAGCCTTTGCTTTAAATTTTAGTGTTTAAAATAAGTTTTGGGCCTGGCGGTGTGGCCTAGCAGCTGAAGTCCTCACCTTGAATGTGCTGGGATTCCTTATGGGCACGAGTTCTAATCCTGGCAGCTCCACTTCCCATCCAGCTCCCTGCTTGTGGCCTGGGAAAGCAGTCGAGGATGGCCCAATGCTTTGGGATCCTGCACGCATGTGGGAGACCTGGAGGAGGTTCCTGGCTCCTGGCTTTGGATCGGCACAGCACCAGCCGTTGCGCTCACTTGGGGAGTGAATCACCGGACGGAAGATCTTCCTCTCTTGTCTCTCCCCCTCTCTATATCTGCCTTTCCAATAAAAATAAATAATAAACTTTAAAAAATAAAATAAATTTTGACCTGTTTGTCTCTGAATTCTGCCAAGTGTTACTACAATAAGTAAATTATTCATGGTGACTCAGTTTCTTTTCTCCTACTTTGATCAGAAATAGTGGGGCTGATTCTCAGTGGGTGTAAGGGAATCAGCCTGACTATAGTTTCTATACATATCGGTGTGCCTTCATATATGCCAAAAGTGAAATTGCGAAGACAGATTACTCCGAGTCTTTTCCCTGTTATTGGTATAAATAAAGTGCATTTTATTATTTCACTTCTTTATTTTTAAGCAGTATCTCTTGATGCTTTTTTGTGTGTGGAGAATTGGACTAAATTAACTAAGGATCTTGCTCAGCTCTTCAGAATTTTACAAATGCCTGCAATGAATAAAAGTATACATATTTAAATACAGCTTTCTGTTAAACACTAGCAAATTTTATGTTTTTTTAAAGACTGAAGGCAGTATGAATTAAGAATTAGGTATACATAAGCACTATGTAGATGTCTTACTTCATCTTTTATGGCTACTGTGGTATTTCAACTGCAGGAATATTGGGTAGTTCTGACTTTCAGTGCTCTCTCTAACTTGGTCACAAAATAGGAACATGATTAATACTAATGGAAAACAGGTTGAACATATACCAGCACACTTCTCCGCTTTCTTTCTGGGAACCTAACCTTATCTCTGAACTGTGCCCTGTGTAATTGATTTTCTTTAGATAGTTTGATTTTTGCATGTACACTGAGCTTTTCTCTTTTCAAAGATCTATTTTTCTCTCTCTCTCTTGCAGAATGATTATCAGCCTAGTTGCGGGCGGTCTTTGCGAAGAACCCAGCGCAAGCGTCAGCATACTTACCACACTCGCTCCAACATGGAGCATAATTCACAAGCATCGTGTCAAAATTCAGGTGTACAGGAAGATTCCAATAGTTCCTCAGAGGTCAGATATTCACTGTTACGTGTTGAGTTTAAAATTTTTTTTTCCTGGTTTGTATCACACATTTGGCTTACTTTTAGGATTTACTTCCTTAATAGGAAAGTCCTTTAATGATTATTTTATTAGAGGTTTATTCTTTAGCATGGTGTCTGTTAAACAATTTTGGGCACCTTGCTGAATTCCTGTAGACATCTTCCACAAACGGTATGTACACAAGACTTCTTGGTGAGACTGTCAAAGATGGCAATAAAAATTTGGCTTTGGATAGTGAGATAAGAGACTGAAAGAAAATTTCCCTAGACACGAGAAGTAGTAGAACATAAATGGTGATGGTAAGTGAAGCAGATCAAGAACTTGTTGGTTGTGTAATCAGCATAATATACACATTTTTTTTTGTTGATGTCACCACTCATGGAGTTTGCCAAGTGTTGATTTTTCTCAGATGTACCTTTTTTATGCTAATGACTACAGTGTATAATAATTGTTTTTTTTCCTATTCTCTTCTCCAGTTCTTCTGTTTTCTTCTTCTTAGTTCATCTACCATAGGTTTTTTCTTAAACTTAGTTATATATTCTCCATCTTGGAAACCTTCATCTTAAAAAAATGGTTATGTACAATATTTCTAAAACAGTATTTTCAGCACTTAGGTAATTATATTTGGACTTAAGAAGCCTAGTCAATCTGAAGTAGTAAAGAGATGCATCCTGTTGATAACATGGTATTATGCCTGCAATTTGAACAATTATATGCAGTAGTCCTGTAAAGTATAAAGACATGTAGAAAAATAATTGGGTACATTTCTTACTAGAATTTTTTTGGTGGCATAAAATTTATCTGCCTGTTCATCTCAGTCATTGATTGCCTTGTATCTCAGTCATTGATTTTTTGTTTTAGGAAGATGAAACTGTTGGTACAAGTGATGCTTCTGTAGAAGATCCTGTGAATGAATGGCAAAGTGAAAGTTCTTCCAGGTAGATTTAATGGTTTTGACTTTCTCTAAATTATTAAAAAATTTAATGTGAAATTATGCTTTTTAGGAGTTTTTTTAGTTTTAAAAAATTTATGCATGGATCGATGTCTCACCTAGTGGTAAAGATACCCCTTTACCCTGCGTAAACCCACCTTGCGTGGATTTCTGACTCTGGATTCCAGTTCCAGCTTCCTGTAAGCACCGAGCCTAGAAGTGAGCTGATCAAGTTGTTAGAGTCCTGGCATCTTAGCGGTATATCTGGATTGAGCTCATGGCTGCATCCTGGCCCAGCTTTGGTTATTTGGGCATTTGGAGAGTGAACCAGTGGAAGAGAGCTTGGTCCGTGTGTGTGTGTGTTTGCATTTCTCTGTGTCTCTCAGAGTCTTAGAAAAATAATGATGTGGTAGAAATAACACTGGTTATAAGCCTAGAGGCATGTTGCTTTATACTCGATCTTTGAATGGATTTGTCTTAAAGATGTATTTAGTTTTATTGGAAAGGCAGATTTACAGAGAGAAGGACAAAGAGAAAGATCCATCTACTGGATCACTCCCCAAGTGGCCACAATGGCTGGAGCTGAGCTGATCCGAAGCCAGGAGCTAAGAACTCTGTCTTGATCTGCCCATGTGTGTTGCAGAGACCCAATTACATGGATCATCTTCTGCCATCTTCTGCTTTCTCAGGCACTTTACCAGGGAACTGGATTAAAAGTGGCATGGCCAGGATTCCAGTTGGCTCTCATGGAACACTGATGTCACAGGCAGTGCCTTAGCCACCTGTGTCACAACGCCATCCCCCTCCAATAGATCTTTACTGTTTCTGTGGGGATTTTTAAGTTCCTTCCTCTGTAAAGCTTTCTTTTTTTTTTTTAAAACCCATGAGCCCATATCTAATCAGTTGAGAAAAACAAAACCTCATTTCACTATTTCTAGGTGTAAGGTACATCTTTCTTCTAAAGTTCTGCTATAAACAACTCAGCATTTAATGTTATCCAGAAAGTGTTTTATTACAATTATTTAGAAAGTGGTCAAAATTCTATATTGTTGAATGTTTTTTCTTATAGGTTATAATAAAATCAAGCCATGTGATTTATAATGCTGGCATATAATTGTTATCTATAAATATTGAGGTAAAACTATTCCTCTTCTGTATTTTGGCATTCATAATTTTCATTTATTTACAGTGATTCATCAAGTGAGTATTCTGATTGGACAGCGGATGCTGGTATAAATTTGCAGCCTCCAAAAAGACAAACGAGACAGGCAACGCGGAAATTCTGCAGTAGTTCCGAGGAAGAGAATTTGAAGTCCTCAGACGAAAGACAGAAGAAACCTAAACAGACTAGAAAAAAGGTTTGTAGCTGGACAGATGGTTTTGGTTTTGTTTTTGTGTGCTTTAAAGTTTTTTTGCTACCTGATTTTTCCTCTAAAACATGAAACTCCGTTTGACCAACTATGTTCTTCAATTGACTTCAAAACATGAGTAATTTCAGATGGCCACAGAGGTCAGGATTGGGTTAGGCAGAAGCTAGGAGCCAGGAGCTTCATCCAGGTTTCCCACGTGGGTGGCAAAAGCCCCAACACTTGGGCAGATTTCTGCTGCTTTTCCCAGGCCATTATCAGGGAGCTTGATTGGAAGTGGGCGCACTGAGACATGAGCTGGCACCAATATGGGATACTGGCATCACAGCCAGCAGCTTTACCCACTGTGTCACAATGCTGGCACCAAGCATTATTTCTGAGAATTTGTACTCTCCCAATGTGAGGGTGTCTTTAAGGCCAGAGATTCAGTTGAATTCAACAGCATTTTCCTGCCCCCTGTGACATGTCTTCACCTTGCTTGTCTCCGAGATGACAAGCCAATTCAAAAAGGATGAACTGTTTTTTTTTCTTTTTAAAGATTTTTTTTTTATTTGTTTTGGGAGGCAGATATTCAGAGAAGGGAGAAACAGAGAGGAAAATCTTTCATCCTCTGGCTTGCTCCTCAAGTGGCCACAACAGCCAGAGCTGAGCTGATCCAAAGCCAGGAGGTTCTTCTAGATCTCCCATTCAGGTGCAGGGTCCCAGGGTTTCGGATTATTTTCTTCTGCTTTCCCAGGCCACAGGCAGGAAGCTGGATGGAAAATGGAGTAGTTGGAACATGAACTGGTGCCCATGTGGGTTCCTGGTGCTTAAAGGCGGAAGATTAGCCAATTAAGCCATCACGCTAGGCCCAAGGATGAAGTCTTAAAAACTAAACTAGGTTACAGAAGTAATGTCTATTCGCACATTTGGTGAAATTTACAAAACATTTTTTAATTTTACAGTTGAACGGATAGGATTATACTTTCAGAGAAAAGCTGTAGTGATTAATCATTTTTAAAAATATATATTCTTTATTGTCTTGCCCCATTCACAAGCAGGAGCATCTGCCAGATAACTGATACATTTAAGAGAAACTGACTTTCTGAAAGAGATGTGACCAGTGGTAATCCATGCACAGTGGACTTGGTGCTGTGCTAGATACTTAGGGTGCACAGGAAATGGAAGACAAGCAGGAACTGCATGGAAGACTTTAAGAGCAGACGGCTTGTGGTCTGCATGAGACCTTACGTGGAGGGAACTGGGGATCTCATTGATCAGAGGGTCTTGAGCACAGAACCCAAGGGGGAAGGCATCCAAGATGGGGTAAGGGCAGCAGAAGTAAATGCCCATAGTGGAAATGAACACAGAGTTGGAAACACGCATCCAAGAAAAATATGCTAGAAACTAATCCATTCCAATGGTCCATCTCAAAACCTGGATATTTTGATATCTGGTATTATATTGTTTTACTGCGTAGTGCTGTGCATTGCTTCTTTTCCTATGGTTGAATGCAGCCTATATGAATGATGTGTAAGGGTACATCTTATACTTTTTGTGTATAATCCTTCCCAAACAATAACTTGTAGATCAATTAGTAAACATGGTGGACTAAAGAAAAGAAAAACATGAGGAATTTTTCACTTTTCTTCTCATTAAGAGTCTTCACTGTTGTAATGTGTTATTGAATTAAAAAGAATTGATAATTGTTTGTTAAAATGTAACAAATTCTAAAAGCTGGATAGAACAATACTATTACCATGTTGCCAGACATAAATATCTATAGATTTTGGATCTGTGAAGTGGATAAGAAAATATTAAAAATGTTTTGTTATTTGTGGAAATTAAAAAAAAGTCTAGCAGTTGTGTGGATATAATATTACTTGAAGCTTAGTTATAAATACTGATTCACTGAATTATACCATTTTTGTGATCTGATATTCTTTATTCCTCACTTGAGCACTATTGTCATGAATCCTATGTTTTCTGATATTAACTTGTCTTCAACAAAAACACCCCAGTATATATGTATTTGTATAGAATATCCATGTGTGGGGGCCCGGCATGGTGGCCTAGCGGCTAAAGTCTTTGCCTTGAATGTGCTGGGATCCCAAATGGGCACTGGTTCTAATCCTGGTGGCCCCGCTTCTCATCCTGCTCCCTGCTTGTGGCCTGGGAAAGCAGTGGAGGACGACCCAGAGCCTTGGCACCCTGCACCCATGTGGGAGACCTAGAAGAAGCTCCTGGCTCCTGGCTCCTGGCTTTGAATCGGCTCAGCTCCGGCTGTTATGGTCACTTGGGGAGTGAATCATCGGACAAAATATCTTCCTCTCTGTCTCTCTTTCTCTCTGTATATCTGACTTTGCAATGAAAAATAAATCTTTTTAAAAAGGATATCCATATTTGAAATGAATATGACAATATTTTGCAATTAAAAATAAAAATATATTTTTTCTTGTAAAATCCAATGTGCAGAGAGAAAGTGTTCTTCCATCACTGGTTCACTACCAAAATAGCTTCAATGGCCAGAGCTTAGCTGTTACAAATCCAGGAGCTCCTTCCAATCCAGGAGCTCCTTCCAATCCAGGAGCTCCTTCCGGGTGGAGACATGGGTGCAGGTTCCCGAGGACATTTTCCACTCACTGCTTTCCCAGACTATAAGCAGAGAGCTGGATGTGAAGTGGGGAAGCTGGCACATGAACTAGTAACTGTATGTGATACTGACACTTTTGAAGGTGGAGGATTAGCCTGTTGAGCTGTTGTGTTAGCCCTGAAAGAAGCAAAAAAAAAATCATTGACTATTGCTTTTTAAGGTTGGTTTTTTTTTTTTTTTTTTTTTTAATTTGAGAGGTATAGTCACAAAGCAGCCGAACTGCTGCATTGTTTCCCAGATAGATAACCCTCCAACAGCCGGAGCTGGGCCACGGAGCTGGGAGTAGAGAACTTGGGTCATGTCTGCCACAGGGCAGCAGGAATCCAAGCACTTGAGCTGTCACCTGCTGCCACCCAGGACCTGAATTCTCATTACAGTAGAATTGGGAGCCAGAGTATCCCTAGTGCTCCAGCATAGGGTGTCAGATTCTTAATCACTTGGCTAAATTGCCCATTCCAAATGCCAGTATTTTATTGGGAAAAATGTGTTGTGTTACTAGAATTTACATTTATCTGGTATTCTGGAGACATGAAGATAAAAGCTTTAGGTTCACTGTGTATATGTAGTGTCATATGATTGGTTACCTTGCTAGGCAAAATTGAACAACTTGAGTTTTTTATTGATCTGATAGTTGCTATAACGAATTGTTAAAAGAAACTGCCTTGAGATGTGTGTATTTTAGGTGTTTTCCTAATGCATTTTTATTGCCTGCAATTTTTTTATACCAGCGTTTATATATCTAATGTATTTTGACCTGGTTTATGCTGTTGATGTATTTATATTTTAGAAAGGAGGACTAGTTTCTATGGCAGGTGAACCCAATGAAGAATGGTTTGCCCCTCAGTGGATTTTAGATACCATACCTCGGCGTTCTCCATTTGTTCCTCAGATGGGAGATGAGGTAAACTTTATCTGTGACAACCTGTTTTCTCTTGAAACGTCAAGAGTGCTGATGTTAATCCTTTCAAGGGTGTTTGTGTTTTTTTGCTCTTATTTCTGCTCTCTCTGTGTACACACACACAGTCCTAGCTGCTCTTCTCAGTTGTTTATATATTGTGGACAGTGACTGCACTCTGAATCTTTGTATCCTCTGTTGGTCCTGGTGTCTGATCTTCACTACAGTAGATGCTCAGTGAAAATTGAAATAAAGTGATTAGCTCATGATGCCATGCACATTTCTGATTTGTATTTTAACTGTTACTTGGTAGGGTTGAGCACGATTTTAAAAGTATTTAATTAGGAAGAACATATATAGTGGAGCATAATTACTGCTTTCATTGAGCCAGCTACTTCCGGGTCTCTGCTTGAGTACTGTTGCTACATTTAGGATTGGTCAGCTAAAGATTACTTAAAAATCTACTTATTGGGAAGTATTACTTTTCTTTGAAAATTATGGTGCTTATGGAATATTAGGACAATATTTGGCTAGTATAATCTACATATTGGCTGACCATTAACTTTAGATTGGTGCTTATAAAAAAAGTTATAACTTTTTCTTTTAAATTTTAAGGAATGTGATATTGTCATCACAATAAAAGAAAGAAGAAAACCTTGTAAATGGTTTATAAGAGTCTTTGCACCATTAACAATTTCGCCAAATTTTCCTGTAATTTTTTGTTACAGCATTCACAGCTATCAGATAGCCTTGTGAATAAACTTATTACGTGTTACTTATCCTTAAATAGTATTAAAATATTTCTTTTGTAAGTGTACAGGCACTGAACTTTTAAGAAATGCTTATTTGCGTGACTAAGTTAATAAATAGGTCCTCAGGAATGCTGTATCTAAAAAGTTAGAAAGTCTTAAAAATTTTTTATCATATCCAGAATCACAATTTTTATTTTAAGCCTGTCTTTACAGAGCTGTAATAAGAATACTGTTAAATTATTATTAAAAGGTGATATAGAACAAAAGAAGTATCCGTATATGCTGAGATCTGGTGAAATTTCTTCTCGTTGCATAGGATCACTTTTCTCAACTTATTCGTAGTGGAGTCATTCTTTGTTTTATTGCAGTTAGTATATCTTTATGTGCTCCGGAATTCATGGATTAGATGATGACAGTTCTTCAGGTAATGAAGAACATGTATAAGCTAATCAGACTGTGAAAATATGTCCACTACAGAATATGTGTAAAGAAATCCCAAATGAACTTTTTATATGATCAATTTCTTAATGAGAGTTTGCTTCTCCGTGTAATCATTAGGTTTTGTTATTCTGCCCGCAATACCCCTAATCATATGTATAACTATATAATTCCCTCTCAAAATGTTCATTCCTTCAAAATCTACATGCCCAATTCATCTGGATGCTATCCTTGTTTTCTCTTTGCTTGTCCCTCCCAAACTCTAATATTCTACCTTGTGCTACAGTTAAATATCTATATGTGTGTCTATTTCCTTGAAGGAAAGGGTTTTATTTTTCTGCCTTATAACAGCGCTTATTGCCTTGTATATAGATTTTCTGTCAATTTGTGTTGAGTACAGGAATGAACTTATAATAAGAAATAATACCTCATGACACGCTTATTATTGGCTTTGTATTCACTGTAATTATGAGTATTGACTAATATTTAAGTGTTTTTCACTTTCTACTTTATATTTTTAACTTAGAAATTCTTACTTAGACAATGCTGATAGGTATAGTTTTTCAGCATTTTCAGTATTTTTGTGTTACTTTCCTCTGTGTACTTAGACTACTCATAATTTATTGAGAAAAACAAATTGTTTAAAAATTGATTTTTACTTGAATGAGAGAGAGAAATGTTCCATTCTCCAAATTCCTGAGAGTGAAAACTCGATTTGTGTGACAATGCCAGGGCCCCAATCATTTGCACCATCATCTGCTACCACTCAAGATGTACACTTGGCAGGAGTGAGGAGCAGAACTGCCCCTTGAACATAGGCAGTCCAACATGGATTCTGGTCATCCCAACTGGCGTCTGATAGCTAAACCAAGTGTCTGCCCTAGAAACATTGTGTGAAGCCTTTATTTTTTTTCATTATTTAGTAACTTTATATTTAACATTTTATGGTAGTATGATATGTTTACGACAGTTAAAGGACCAAAACCAACTTTAAAGTCAGAGTTATGGAGATCAGAGAGAGAGAGAGAAAGAGGGACTTTCCATCTATTGGATGTCTCCCCAGATGATTGTGAAAGCCAGAAATGGACCTGTCTGAAGTGGGGAGCCAGGAGTTTCTTCCAGGTCTCCCATGTGGGTGCAGGGTCCCAAGGACTTGGGCCATCTATAAGCAGGGAGCTGGAACAGAAGTGGAGCAGCTGGGACATGAATTTGCACTGATACAGGATGCTGACACTGCAAGTGAAGAATTGGCTTGCTACACCATCACACTGGCCCCAGAAACTTTTTTTTTTAATGAAGGAAACAGAATGTGGTGTAGTAAGCTTTTTAAAAAAGCCATATAATAACAAGGGACACTGTGGCTTAGCATGTTAAGCTGCCTCTTGAGACACTCACATATCAAAGTGCTGATGTCTCAGCTACTCCACTTCTAAACCAGGTTCTTGCTAATGCATGTTGGGAGGCAGCAGATGATGGCTCAAAGTGTGTGAACCCTTGCCATCCACCTGAGACACCCAGTGGGAGTTCTGAACTTTGGGTTCAGGCTTATGGATATTTGGAGAGTGAATCTGGGGATGGAAAATTTATCTCCTTTTCTTTCTCGCTGCCATTCTGCCTGTTACTTAGATAAAATTACATTTACATTGTTTATTTTATGATCTATTTATTTTTGTTGCAAAGACCAATCTGCACAAAGAGAGACAGAAAGATCTTCCATTGCTGGTTCAGTCCCACATGGCCGCCTTGGCCAGAGCTGAGCTGATCTGAAGCGAGGAGCTTCTCCTGGGTCTTCCACTCAGTGCCACATCCCAAGGCTTTTGGCCATTTTGCACTGCTTTCCCAGGCTGGAAGCAGGGAACAGGATGGGAAGTGGAGCAGCTGGGACAAAAACTGGTGCCCAATGGTATGCTGGCACTTGCAGGCAGAGTACTAGTCAGTTGAGCCATTGTGATGGCCTCTAAATTTATGTTTTAAAAAAAAGCTTGCCTGAGTCTTTTTATAAAGTTTAACAGTGTTACTAAGCACTTGAATTGGTTTTCCTTCTATACTGTGTTAGTTTTTTCGGATGTTATTACAGTGTTGATATTGAAAAAAATCAATTAGAAGTTGAAATACAGTACTTTGAATAGTGACCAATTTTGTGTACTAGTGAGTTCACAAGATCTATGAAGGTACTGGAGGGAAAAAGGAAAAGAACTATCCATAACAATGTGTATATAATGTGGGACTTAGCACAGGCCTATTGAGAGGTGAGTACTGAATGAATATCATTAGATGGGGAAGGCACATTTACTGTACCAAGGTTTTTAAAATTTTGTACAATTGTCTGTTTCCCACAAACCAAAGAAATCTGTGTAATGGACCTGGCCATGTATTGAGTTGTTAATTCTGATGCTGCTATTTAATATTTTGTTTTTGTTTTTAGCTTATTTATTTTAGGCAAGGACATGAAGCTTATGTGCGGGCTGTAAGGAAATCAAAAATATACAGTGTTAACTTACAAAAACAGCCGTGGAATAAAATGGATCTCAGGGTAAGTTTGCTGAATTCGATTGAAGGAATTCTGAAAGAAAGTTCTTCATCATAAATTTTTTTTGGTGTTGTTTAAAACATACTCCATTGTTGATATTGTGTCCAAGAGAAAGTGAGGTGCAATACACTTGTAACTAAGTAGTAGATGCCACATTTTGCATTTTCCATCTGTTTCCTTAGTTATTTTACCTAATTTCATTCAAACATCTTGTTCTCTAGTTGACCCCAGACCATGATTATAGGGAAATATTTTCCCTATAATGTGGATATTTTCCCTAACAGCAACTTTGTACATTTCAGAGACATGGTAAACTAACTGTGTACACTGTAAAATTCTGACTTATGATGTATCAGCTGTCACAAACCACAGGAAGCTTGGGAATTTCTAGTTCTATAGGGGAATATTTTGATGTGACATATAGGAACATGGTATTGAGTAAAACAGATATGTGGAAGGATTTTCTGTCAGTAAAAACACATCCTTTCATTGATTGTTCCATATATACAGATTGACTGACTTAGGTTATACATATTACATAATTTCTAGATAGATTAATTTATCTTTTGCTTTCTTTGTTATTCTAAAGTAGAGAACAGATGACTAACAGGGAAATTTTATGTTGGTTTTCTAAATAAATGAAGGGTTGTTATATGTTGATTAGCAGGAAGGATTTAAGAGAGTATCTGTTTATTTACTGAAATATAAATTCAGCTAAGGCATTTGTAAAACACTATTAATGTTGTAAGTTACTACAAAAGGTGTCTTAAGTGAGCTGTATCTGATCATCTCCTGGGAGACTGAAACCTGAGACCTTCTATTCTGAATTGGTAAAAGTTGAGTTCTTTCAGTGAGGATTAGTTTTCCTGTATGTTAAATGTAACTAGTAATTAATGTGTAGGGTTGTTGTATTGTAGTTTTGTAGGCATTCAAAACTGTAAGTCCATTCCCAGACCCCAACACATTTTTTTTTTTGCCTTTCCATGATAATTTTTTTTTCATTTTATGACACTGTTTCATAGTTTTAAAACATTTATTTGAAAGGCAGATTTACAGAGAGAGGAAAAAAGTCTTAAAATCACTGGTAAACTCCCCTTATGGCTGCAATGGCCATAAGTAGGCTGGTTCCAAGCCAGGAACCAGAAGCTTCTTCCCAGTCTCTCACATGGGTGCAGGGGCTAATGGAGTTGGTTCATCCTCTAATGTTTCCCAGGTACATTATCAGGGAGCTGAGTTGAAAGATCAGGTGGGACTCAAACCACAGCACATGGTATGCCAGCACACCAGGTTTTACTGGCTAGATTATGGTGCTGGCCCACAGACCAATGTTTACATGGATGCTGACAATCTATTTTTGCTGGGGGAATGGTTTATATTTATTTGTTTATTTCGTAACTCTGAAAGGCAGAGTTACGAGAGAGAGAGAGAGAGAGAGATTGAGAGATTGAGATTTTCCATCTGCTAATTGATTACACAAATGGCTAGGTTTGGGCTGGACCAGGCTGAAGCCAGCAATCAGGAGCTTCATCTGATTCTTCCACAAGTTAGCAGGAATCTAAATAAGTACTTGGGCCATCCTCTGCTGTTTTCCCAGCCATTAGCAGAGGACTGAATTGGAAGTAGAGAAACCAGAGCATGAACCAGTGCTCACATGGGATGCTGACATTCACACTATTGCCAGAGTGCCAGCCCCAAGGAATGATTATTTTTTTTAAGATTTATGTTATTGGGATGTCAGATTTGCAGAGAGAAGGAGTAACAAAGATCTTCCATCCAATGGTTCAGTCACCAGTTGGCCTCAACGGCTGCAGCTGATCTGATCTGAAGCCAGGAGCCAGGAGCCAGGAGTCAGGAGCAGCTTCTGGGTCTCCCATATGGGTGCAGAACACCTGTGGCCCTAGGCTTTGGGCCATCCTTGACTGCTTTCCCAGGCCACAAGCAGGGAGCTGGAAGGGAAGTGGAATAGCCAGGACACGAACCAGCACCCATATGGGATCTCAGCATGTGCTAAGTGAATGTTTTAGCCACTAGGCTACTCTGCTTGGCCATGAAGAATGATTTTTGACCATTCTTTATTAATAATCTCCTGGGGAGTTTTTTCAAACTGTGTAATTGAGGTATACCGCAAATTGATAGTATCAGATTTTATAGGAGTAGTGTTCAGGAACATGAGTTTTGAAGTTTCTACAGGAAATTCTGTTGCTTATCTTTGCTTTAGAGACCTGTACTAGACTGTAGTCTGCTACTAAGGGCCAGGAATTATGTCTTGTTACCCGTAATACTCTTTGTAGTACCTGGCATTCGGTAGGTATTCAGATCATTCTTAAATCTTTTTAAGTAATTGTGAAATGTCACACAAACTTTGGGTAGTAATTTGTATTGAAAATAGTGATTTCTGGTTATTCTTATGAATAGGAACAAGAGTTTGTTAAGATTGTAGGAATCAAGTATGAGGTTGGACCACCTACACTATGCTGCCTGAAGCTTGCATTTCTGGATCCCATTTCAGGCAAAATGACTGGAGAATCTTTTTCTATTAAGTGAGTAACTATGTTGTGTGTTCGTGTGTATGTCAAACCCACTGTATATTCTGCAGAGTACAGGGCTCAATGGGAGAAGCATTACCAGCACTACTGTAGCAGACAGAGTTAAGGAGACCGAGTTTAATTATTTGTCTGTTTCATCACTTAATGGCTGCATATATGACAGATCCATCTCTCCATGAGTAAATCACTTAAGCTATCTGATTTTATGCATGTTTTGTAAAATGAAAATGCTATTATCTTCCTCAACGTTCTTGTGAGAAATCAGTCATATGCTTGATACAAGGTAGTTGCTTTTATTCCTGTTCATTAATAATTGGCATAATAAGTCAGTTGTTCATTTGTTGACGTTGAATTTAAAATAGAAAAAGAATACCAGCTGATTCACTTCTTTAAGTGTCCTTAATATAAAATATTGTGTTAAGTTGTAAAAATGTTTATTGGCATCTTTGTATTGTTTCACGTAATACAATAGTAGGCAGGGCATTCCCGGATGTAGCAAAGGAAATAGGACTTAATATATAACTAAAGGCATTCAATGAAGTTTACAGATTTGTACTTGAACTCTGTTTTAGATGTTTATCTTTGGCTCTTTAGTAAGTTCTGCACACTCATATCTCTGTATTCACATGCTTTATTTTCTGTAGGTATCATGACATGCCAGATGTCATTGATTTCCTTGTATTGCATCAGTTTTATAATGAAGCCAAAGAAAGGAATTGGCAGATTGGTAAGTAAAGAGTTATCTTTTAATAACTATTATGCTTGAAGTAGAGTAAGTAACTTTTTAACTCTGGCTTTTCAGAAAGAAATTGGCTTAAAATTAAGCAGAAACAAGTATCAACCAAGCCAGAAAAAAAAAAAATAAAACTTTAACTATCCTTTTGTGTTATGTCTGTGTCACTTCATACGTGCATTTCATGTGGCATACATAGTAGTCCATCCTTATCTGCAGGCTTGCTTTTCTGTGGTATCAGTAACCTATTGTTAGCCAGTCTGGAAATAGTGTAAAACATTTACAGAAATAAAACAATTTATACAGTTGAAATTCCATACCATTCTAAGTAACTTGATGAAACCTCATACTGTCCAGCTTCATCCTGCCCACCTGCATGTGATTCGACTTTAGTCAAACGCTACATGCCCATTGGTTAGTTAGCCCGGTTATTTGCTTAACTCTACCTCTAGTCTACTGTCCAAATATTGTAGTGTATTTATGCTCAGGCAAACCTGATGTAATACCTAAAGCTACATTATGGTCCTTGTGTCTTTCACCTTGCTTCATCGAATCATATAGGCATGAATCACTGTAAGAATGGTGTCCAAAATTCAAGATAGCTTCAAGTGCTAACCTATCGTTCAGCAAATATATTAGGTTTTGGAACATTTCAGACTTTTGGTTTTTAGATTATGAGTGCTCAATCTATGAAGTCTGTGGAAATACTTCCCGGTTAAAAAGTATAGTCTGAAAGTGGAAGCATTTCTTGTCTCAAGCATTGTGGATAAGGGATATTCAAGTCTGCATGAAAAGATTTAAAAGTCAAAAAGCTGAAAGTATAAAAAAGGGAGAAAATGAAATAACTACATTAACTTACATATAGTATAATGAAGAACATGCCTAATGATGGTACAAAGTAATTGATGAAAGCTAAATTATGTTTGAAAACTTTTGAGAATACATGCATATGATTTATTTCTGAGGGATTTGTCTCCACTTGAAAATAAAACGTGGAGACATTAAAAATGAAATGTACTTGTTGTCTGTACTTGGAAACTCATAAAAATAACACTTTGGAGTGCAATAGAGATGATAATCCTGAGTACCTAGCCTATTAAGGATTTTTAAAAAAACATTACAGGTGATAGATTCCGCAGTATAATAGATGATGCCTGGTGGTTTGGGACTGTGGAGAGTCAACAGCCTTTTCAACCAGAGTATCCTGATAGCTCCTTCCAGTGTTACAGTGTTCAGTAAGTATGGTTATAGTCTTTTATACCTGATGTGCTACAACAGTATAATAGGGACTTTAAACAAACTCTGCTAGGATAATAGCTTTTTACCTGACTTGTCTAGACTCACAATACCTGTGTCTATAAGGAAGCTGTCATAGTAGATGTAAGGAAAGAATTTGATGATAAGCCTTTTGGTCCAATATGCTTGCTAAAACAAAGAATAAAGACAGTTTCTCTCTGTGTCATTGTCTGTGTTTTGTCTTAAGCAGTTCTATTTTAGGCAAGAGTTTAAGCTAATTTACTGGAGAATACTGAAACTGAATGTTTTCTGTGAGTGGGAAAGCAGGAACATAACAGTAATAATATCTAATCTTTTATTTAATGTTAAGAAATTTAGGCAGAGGTTTCTTCTAAAAATTCGGAGCAAAGATTTCTCTCAGTTTCCTTTCATTGAAATCTGAGAGTTCTTAAGATTCCTCACAAATGATGCTACTCAATGATAGAGGAAATGTCTATTTTCTGGAAATTGGCTGATAGCTTGCATATTGCCAATCAAAAGGGAATAATAAAATTTTTAAGATGCTGTTATACTTAAGATGCTATTTGAATAAAGTATATTGTTTCAAGGAAATATGTGATAACTCTTAATCTGAAAGTTTTATTTTCTAATATATATATATATTTTTAATTTATTTTTAAAGATTTATTTATTTTATTGGAAAGGCAGATTACAGAGAGGAGGAGAGACAGAGAGGAAGATCTTCCATCCAATAATTTACTGCCCAAGTGGCCGCAATGGCCAGAATTGCGCCGATCTGAAGCCAGGAGCCAGGAACCTCTTTCCGGGTCTCCCACATGGGTGCAGGGTGCCAAGGCTCTGGGCCGTCCTCGACTGCTTTCCCAGGCCACAAGCAGGGAGCTGGATGGGAAGTGGAGCTGCCGGGATTAGAACCAGTGCTCATATAGGATCCCGGCGCGTTCAAGGCGAGGACTTTAACCATATACGCTATCGTGCTGGGCCCTATAATATATTTTTTTCCTTCAATTTAATATTGAATATATGTTGTTTAGAAATAAAAGAAAGAGCAAGTAAAAAATTAAGAGTAGTCTTAATGATGAATTTTGTACTGGTTTGCCATGTTTTCTCTATTAAGTGTTTATTATTATTTTTATGCAGTTATATTTATAACAAAAGTACATTGCCCAATTCCAAGTCCCTCCCCACCCAAGAAGTCATGCAAATTGTTAATGTCTGAAATAAGTACGTGTGAATTTGATTTGCGTCTTTCTTATTTTTTGAATAGCTGGGACAATAATGAGAGAGAAAAGATGAGCCCCTGGGACATGGAGCCAATTCCAGAAGGAAGTAAATATGCTTTTTAAAGTAATCATAATTCTTTCAAAGTAAAATGGCAATAGCATGATACTGGAAACTGATGATTTCTTATTGTTCATCTTATACCTAGCTGCCTTTCCAGATGAAGTTGGTGCTGGTATTCCTGTCTCCCAGGAGGAACTGACTGCTTTGCTCTACAAACCCCAGGAAGGAGAGTGGGGAGCTCATTCCAGAGATGAGGAATGTGAACGAGTCATTCAGGGCATCAACCACCTTCTTTCCCTGGGTATGGTGAATGTGGAATATTAGAAGCTGTGAAAGTGGGCAAAGTTTGAAGTTTTCCATAAGCAAATATAATTTCCCACAGTACATGTCATTTTTAACTCAAGAGGCAGGGTGCTCCTAGTTTTAATATTGACATTTGTTTGTGCTTGGCCAAACGGATGCTGAGTGTTTTCAGCACTTTGGGAGCAAATTGTGAATGCCAGCATATAAATATCTTTTCCTTTCTCGAGTCATTTTTGCTCTCTAGCTATTCCTTGAGCCTGTCTTTGAATGGGATTCCTTAGTCAAACAGTGGATGCGAATGCATTTTTCTCAAATAAATATGTTCCCTAAAACACATCACTCGAGAAGTTTTGCATTCATCTGGGAACGACACAGAAATCTGAAACTAAATGCGATAATTCCTTTAATGTTTTCTGAATTTACCTGATTTAGACCAATGTATTATTGATTTATAGATAGTATGAGTGAAAAGAGAAACAGTATAATTTGAATGAATCATTGTGTTGCAAATGTAGGCTATTACATTCCCTCATTGGCTCTAGGTATAGGAACTTTTGCTTGTTAGCATGAGTTGTTTCTGTCCTTTATAGCCACCGTTTTGGACTGGTTGTTTTGTAGATTTTGCCAGCCCTTTTGCTGTTCCAGTGGATCTCAGTGCCTACCCCTTGTACTGTACTGTAGTTGCTTATCCAACGGACCTCAACACCATCAGGCGAAGACTTGAAAACCGTTTTTACAGGTCTGTGTATTGGATCATAAAATTCGTGGCTGTCTGGCTTACATTTTTCATTTTGAAAATACGTTGTTTTTATAGTATAAATTATTCATCCAAAAGACTCAGTCTATAATTACTCTTCTAAAAATTCAGAGAAAAGATTTGTCTCAATTTAATAGACTCTTACTCTGGCAGCAAAAAGGGTGACTAGGAAAGAAAGAGGCAAGAAAATATAGACGACCAATCATGTATTAAAAACATGAGTTAATTTTGGTTTATTAAAAAAAGATTAAATGAGTTGTGGATTTATTATGATTAAGGTGCTGTGGAGATTTGAAGCATATTTCAATCCTCTGTAAGGCAATTAGGCAGCAGTTAATTAGATTTAATTGAAATAGATTATTGGTGTGCAAAAAACTCATAGAAAATGTATGCTCTGAACAAGGTGTGTATGAATTCAATAACTTTGCTTCCAAATTAACTTGTTTACTGAGTTCAATTTTTTTCTTCAGACCTTTTGATGTATGCTTGTTTACTCACACAGACAAAATGATGTCCTGTTGATTTTGTAGTAACTAAACCCACAGCACAGACCTAAAATGTGATAAAATTGAGGCTAAAATAAAAATTTATATTTTTATTGGATAATCTTTAAAAAAAAAGGCTCAGGAAATGGTTGATGCCCTCTCATCCCTTTCCTTATCAGACCAGAGGTTTATGCTACATAAGACGAAAGGAAAAAAGATGTTAGTCAGAAAATGGTGTACATAAATAACAAAACACCAGTGCATTAAGACTGAAAAAAACGGAATTAAAAGAGAAGTTTATTTGGTGTGAAATATTTTTGGAAAACCCTAAGTAGGTGTTTCATAATAAGCACTTTTCAAAACGATTTGAAGAGCCCTCAGATACATAGAGAAGATATTTTCCCCCTCCTTGTTTGTCATGGGAGGGGAATGATTATGGAAGAGTTACAGAGGGCAGCTCCTGATCCTTTGCACCTGAATCTGTTACACCTGTTCATAAAAATACCATGATTCATCGTTCTCTAATGCAAATTGGATGTATTATTTCATCGGATCTTGTACATCATGAAAGAAACTTGCTAGGGGCCAGTATTGCCATGCAACAGGTTGAGCCATCATTTGCAACTCTGGCATACCGTGCTGAAGTGCTAAATCCAGTCCTGCCTGCTCTGATTCAAATTCAGCTTCCGCTAAATACGCCTAGGAAAGCAGCAGATCATGATACAAGTGCTTGGAGCCCTGCCACCCATGTGTGAGAGTCAGCTGGATTCTGTGGTTCCTGCATAGTTCAGCCCTGTCTGTAGCAGGCATTAGATCAGTGCAGCAGCAGATGGAGGGTTTCTCTCTCGCTGTGTCACTCTACTTTTCAAATAAATACTTACTTATTTCTTTTAAGTCAGTGTTACAGAGAGGAAGGTAGAGACAGACGAAGTAAGAGAGAGATCTTCTGTCTGTTTACCCCTTAGATGGTCACAGTGGCTAGGGTTGGTGCAGGGCAAAGCCAGGAGCCTCATCTCCCACGTGGATGGCAGGGCTCAAATCCTCAGCTATCTTGTGTGGCTTTTCCAAGGCCATTAACAGAGAGCTCAATAAAGTGGAAGCAGCTAGGGCAGCAGCCTGCACTCACTGAATGCTGGTGTTGCAGACACAGGGTGTAGCTGCTAGGTGACAACCTGGCTCCACTGGCTAAATCTTTCAAAAAGTAGCAGTAAAAATCTCATTTCCTACAATCTGTTCTTGGTACTCTTGATTCTTTCTTTAAAAACTAAACATTTTTCTGAGACTCTGTTATACCACACTTTATTTCTTTGTCAAATCACTTTACATATATAGAAAGATGAAGTTACAGAGAGGGGGAGAGACAGAGAGCTGTCTGCTGGTTCACTCCCCAAATGGCTACAGTGGCTGAAGCTGGACCAGTCCAAAACCAGGAGTCAGGAGATTCTTCTGAGTCTCCCATGAGTGTAGGAGCCGAAGCACTTGAGTCATCCTCCGCTAGTTTCCAAGCAACATGAGCAGGGAGCTGGATTGGAAGTAGGGCAGTCGGGGCTCAAACCAGAGCCCATATTGGGTGTTGGCACCAGGTTAGCTGCCATATATAGTTGGACTTTGGCAAGTCACTCTTTACTCATAACATCCTTGGGTTAGTTCTGTTTCAAGTCAAGGGATTCAAACTTGTGCATGTGCTTTAAATACTGTAATTACATTTGTCCCTTTTTTGGTGCATACCAGTTACACAAATCTGTTGAATCACATTCATATATTGAAACATTTGACATAACATGATTAAATTCTTGCTTGTTTATTTTGTATATTCCTAGGGTACTCCTCACATGTATCAACCAAGACTAACAGAGGCTATTTTCCCTTTTCCAGGAGAATATCAGCATTAATGTGGGAGGTACGCTACATTGAGCACAATGCTAGGACTTTCAATGAGCCAGACAGTCCTATAGTTAAAGCAGCCAAAATTGTGACTGATGTCTTACTTCGATTTATTGGGTAAGAAGCAGCTTCATTTTCCAGAGTTGAACATCTGATTTAAAAAAAAATAATAATAATAGAATTTATTTTGACTTACCTTGTCTCTTAGGGATCAGAGTTGTACTGATATACTGGACACTTATAATAAAGTTAAAGCAGAAGAACTGAACAGTACTGATGCAGAGGAGGTAAGAATCACAGGATGAGTAATAGGAATAAATTATTTTCTGCTGTTTGACGTAGTGTGAGAATGAATGTGTAAATGTTGTAATTGGCTGTGAGCAGTCAAAGAAATAGTTGAAAGATTAATGAGCACCTGCATCTTTTTCTTTAAACTCTTCAGTTTAACTTGTAATCAGATAATATATATCAAAAATATAATAGTGCTTCAAGATTTACAGAAACAGATGGCCAGCAATGTTTTTTGACTCCATGGGTTTCAGCCAGTAGAAATTGGTGCTTTATTTTATACCCCTTACAAATACAAACAAAATACTTGCTATTTTACAAGAATGATGGAAAATTGAGTAGGGGTTTTATTTTCCATACAGTGTGCATGGTAAGAAACAATTCATTCCAAAGATGCGTGACTCAAATATGCTAGATTTTATAGTAGTGGCCTGTAATATTTTACAAGTTTATGTTGTCAGTATTGATGTCCAGAATGGTAAATTTCTAGTGCTGTTTTATATCTTTTCATGAAAATGAATCTGACCATAAAACATGTACTAACATTGTTAGTTAAATTTCATTTGCATAACAATAAGGGGAAATGCGATATGCCTGATTGTTTTAACCTCTGAAAGCCCAAGAAAAATGTAATACTTATATTCCTTATATTTCTTATATGAGAGTACTTGAAATGTTTGTGGAAAATTGGAATTAAAACACGAGTTGATTTTGGTGCAAATTTTGAAATCCATTCATAGCTTTTTCATAATAAGCATTTCCATGAACTATTTGTATTTTCCAACTTTTTACCTAAACATATTTTAAACTGAGAATTTAATGTAACAAGAGGTTTTCCCCAAAGTATTCGTCTTTAGCCTAGAATACAAAATTTAGTTTAACAGTTTCATTTTATTAGAAAAGAGTTTCCCTAATGTGGGAGAGACCTTTTTTCTCCTATACGCATTGCCTAGGTTCTTTACCATCATCAATATTACCTGGGCTTTCCTCTTTGTATTATAAAACTATCCCTCACAGAGATACTGAAATTAATTTTAGGTTTTAGTGCTTACATTTTCCCCGTACAGAAGAGATTTCTTGAAGTGGCAAAAGATGAATGCTGAGTATTTGATAATTAGATTGAATAGGTATAGTGTGGGATTTTTAAAAAAAGATTTATTCATTTTTATTGGAAAGTCAGATATGCAGAGAGGAGGAGAGACAGAGAGAAAAATCTTCCATCTGTTGATTCACTCCCCAAGTGGCCACCATGGCTGGAGCTGTGCCAATCCAAAGACAGGAGCCAGGAGTCTCTTCTGAGTCTCCCATGCGGGTGCAGGGTCCCAAGGCCTTGGCCTGTCCTCCACTGCTTTCCCAGACCACAAGCAGGAAGCTGGATGGGAAGTACCACAGCCAGGATACGAACCAGTGCCCATATAGTTGCTGGTCCTTATAAGGAGGAAGATTGGCTAGTTATCATGCCGGCTTTTCCATAGGATTGTTTTTAGAAAATATTACCACTTAGATACTGGTTACTATTTATGTTCCCCATTTTCCTATTTTAATTTAACAACATAATCTATTGCATACATATCATCTTGGTAAATTTTCTAGTAAGTCTCCTGCTTATTTCCGCATTCCATTTATTTATAATTATGGGTGATTATGTTCACATTTATTCGTAAACCTTTGGTTATGTCTAAACATCCTCTTCCATTTTTCTGCTTTTTAAAATATTAATCAATTAATCCTATTCTACTTTTAATTAGGATACTGAACTGGTTGATTTAGATTCAGATGGTCCTGGGACTTCATCTGGAAGAAGGGTAAGTAAATAAATGAACTGCCAAGAAAACATTTCCAGGTTTCCTATATTGGGGGATCCCTGAGAATAACCAGAAATGTGGAGAGTTCCTAGAAGGACTAGTTCTTAGGAAAACAACATGCACACTCACACACACATGGTTGGTTACTCAGGGCTAAGGTTTATTACATTGACACAGTAAGGATATACAGCTGAATCACAGGAGAAAACAGAGTCTGGAGAGATCTGTGTTCATTCTGCTTCATATTCACTTTTTATAAGTTGCCATACAGCCACACTCTTTCCCCAAAAAGAAAATAAAGCACCGTGCATATGAGTGGCAGCTGTCCGCGTGGATTTTCCTTGAGGAAGGTTATATTGCCACTCTGACTAGTACACGCAAAGATTCCATTCAACACAAATTACATTGATAGTAGTGTCTAGGTATAATAAACTACTGTTATAATGCAGGAACGAATTCATCTACCAAATTTCGTAATGAAAACTAAAGGTCCAACTTGTAGATAAGCTCTGCTAAAGATAACAGACTTTGGTCAGCTGTGTTAACTTCTGTTTTTGTGTAGATGTTTTTGTAAAAGAAATAGTGTCCTTGGAAATGTTGAAACTGATCATATCAAAATACATCAGGGCATGAACTGGAATTCATGGTAACCGTAAAGAATATAAAGCATTCAGTGTTTTAGGAAGATAGGCTGCTATTATCAAGTATACTTAAGTATAAGCAAATATTAGTAATGTATCTGTTAAATTTGTAGAGAAAAAAATTTTCTCTGTACTTTATGTGAGATTCTGATATTTTTTAATGGAAATTCAGAATATCAGAATTCTCACCATTTCCACAAATGTAATGGCGGTTTTTGTTTCTTTTGACCAGGGATAATGAGGTCTAATTTACTTTTAAATTTTATGTTTATAAATTTTATCATTTATAGGCTATTATTTTTTAATTTACATTATAGTCAAAGGTTTTTTTATCGGCTCCCCTAAATAAAAAAAGGTTACAGTCCAGCAGGAAAATGGGAACAGCTAAACATACTAATGAAAGGAAAAGGTATTCACCTTCACTTATGAAAGTAAATTTTAAACTTTGTAAATTATAGGATCATTCAAGCTATAGTGTTTGATTCCTGTTGATTTGACAAAGACTGCATTTGCTGCAACACTGTGGTATTTCTTTACATTTTGCCTCGCAGATGTGAGAACACGAAATGCTCATCTTTCTGTGTCTGACTTAATTCCTTCAATATGATATCCTCCAATTCCAATCATTTTACTACAGATGATAGACTCACATTCTTTTTATCTATATACCTGGATAGCATTCCTGTGTGTGTAAATACCCATGTATCACATTGTCTTTATCTGTTTATTTGATGGTGATTTCATAGTTTGGCTCTTGTGAACAGTGCTGGCCCAAATATGGTGGAGCAGGTGTCTCTTACGATCATTTATTTATTTTATCTGAAAGACTGGGAATTGGAGAAGAGAAATCTCTTGGCTTTCGGTTCACTCCTAAAATGCTCACAACAGCTAGGATTGGGCCAGACTAAAACCAGGAACCAGGAATTCAGTTTGAGTTTCCCACGTGCATTCTAAAGACCAAGTATTTGCTGCCTTCCAGGGTGTGCTTTAGCAGGGAGCTAGGATTGGGCAGAGCTGGAACAGTAGCCCAGGTACTGAGCTAATGGGAGGTGTTTCAAGCAGTGTCTTAGGCTATGCCAGATGCCCACCCCTAATATCTAAGCTAAGAAACTTGAATAGATGCTGCTGTATCTTAAACAAATATACTATTATTAGTGGTGCATAAGCAGAGCAATGAACAAAAGTCACATATATAATTCTATTCAAATCTATAGGTCAAGTGCCGAGGGAGAAGGCAGTCTTTAAAGTACAGTGCTGATGCTTGGAAAAAACAGTGCAAAGAACTGTTGAGCCTCATTTATGAACGTGAAGACTCGGAGCCGTTCCGGCAGCCTGCTGAGCCGCCTGCTCACCCGGTAAGCAGTCTACCAATAATGGCCGATATGATAATTTCCTGTAAATGTCCGTGTTCAAATCTAGTGAAGAGCAGTCCTCTCTCGCTTTCTCCACCTGCTCTGTCCCTCAGTCTCCCCTTCCTTCTTTTGTATCTCTGAATTATTAAAATGTGCGATATGATTAATTATGACTTTTCAAACTGCTTGTTATACACTTTGGTAAATTATATGGATACAAGCCCTATTTGAATCAAATCTATTTGATTTCTTTCTGTTTTATTTCATATTCTTGTTTAATGCATTTTACTAGCCCTTCAGGCACTCGCATGCACTATAGATATGATACTCCTGTTTCACTATATGAAATACATTATTAGTATGTTTACAGAGTAGCAAATATAGTATTGATTAATTGTCTTTATGCAGCGGGAACTTAGAATATAGGATTTCTTTTTCTTTTTTAGGATTTATTTATTCAATTGAATGAAGTCAGAGTTAGAGAGGGGGAGACAAAGAGAAAGATTTCCATCCACTGCTTCACTCAAGGCTTGGCTTGGCTGAAGCCAGGAACCAGGAGTTTCTTTAGGGTATTCCACGTGGGTTATGGGGCCCAAGCTCTTGGTCCATCTTCTGCTGCACTCCCAGCTGCATCAATAAGGAGCTAGATTAGGAGTATCCAGGATGCAAATCAGTGTCTATATGGGATGCCAGCTCTGCTTTTGTCCACTGTGCTCCAGTGCCAGCCCTGAATTTCTTTTCTAAGAGGATACCTACACATTGAGTTACCTTTTAATGTGTACAGCAAATCTCTTACTCTGTTAAGGGGAAAATAAAGCAGTGTTTCCGAAATAACTCAGCCCCGTCCTCTGAGCTTCATTGATATCAGTATTATTATCTGCATACGCAGGTCCTAGTTGCGATAAGCAATCTTACAAGGATCAGAAGCTTCGTTTTGTTTGTTCATGGAGCTTTGGGCAGAATAAATTGTTTTTTCGCTTTTTCATAAGGGAATAATGAATGTAGAATTTTTTTCATGCTAAGGTTGTCTTAGAAACCGTTTCTATTGAATGATCTTTTCATCTTACATCATAACCGAGTTACAATTCTTTATAATTTTGTTGTGGTCTGGAAATACAATATGTGCTCTTTACCCTAAAAGATCCATCAAGAGCAAGAGGGAGAATCGTCGGGATCAGCTGTTGCAGAAAGACAAGATTCCTCTCTGTCTGAGGTAGGCTTAGTCGTTTCTTATACGACATATCCTGGTTGTTTTTGTTCTTTATATAATTTGTTAAGGGTGTCTTCTAACTGGATATTTTGATCTCTGTTCAATTCCTGGTACCATTGTTTATTTGTTTTTCATATTAAGGTGTTCTCCAGATTATTCTTTGTAGCATCCATGTAAATGTTTACTTGTCTATGTAGATAAAGCTATTGCAGCCCAATAGAAGGCTCAGTTACACAGTACGAGATGTCTGTGTGACAATGATTGTTTCCACTGGGACTTCACATTCAGCAGGCAATTCACACGTTTGAGTTGCCATCATCATACTAGCTAAGCTCTCACATTTTCATTCTGTGAAAAACTTAAGACATACTACTGAAATGTTCTAAGAGAATGAGATGCATTTATAGCAATTTTGTTTTCTTTTACTTTGGAAATATTTTTTCTTGTCTCTTTTCTGTGTTGCTACTACTGGTTCTTTGGGTTTTCTCTTGTGGTGGTTTTACTTTCTAATGATTTGGAATCGGATGGAGGACCTAACACTACGTTTTTCAGTATGAATATATAGGTACCAATTTTAGAGTATCATTCCATATGATACCCCTTCCAAAAATCTCAGAGTTGAATGATTTAGGTTAAAGTGAGATCTTTTTCCCCCCTAATGTAAATCAAATAAATTTAAAACCTATGAGATGGAAGACTTTAGATGAAGCAAAACGATCACATTGATAAAAAAAAAAAAAAAAAACCAAAAACTAAAAAGCAGAAAAGCAAAGCCAATTTGACTTTGGCATTCAACTAGTGACACTTTAAGTAAAATGCTTTCAGAGCTAGATACTTTGGAAATCTCATGAAGAAACTTAAAACTTTGTGGAAAATATACGTTATGAAAAAAACTACGGGAATTTGGATTTTTCTGCATGAAAATAAAATTTTCTATTTCCATGAGCTGTCTGAAGTACTTTGTCTATAGCTAATTTATACAATGGAACTGTCTAAATATGTGTAAAAATTGAATTTTCTGTCATCACTAATTAATTTGCCAGCATGTGGAGGTTTTATGAGCCTTTCAGTAAGAAATGGAATTCCTTATTGCATACTCTGCAGGGATGTAACCGGTAACTACACATATCTTGTCTGTCACTTCAGAGTTCTTTACGTGTGATAACTAGCAGCAATGTGAAGACTAAATGTCTCCCACAAACCCCTGCGGTTTTCATGAGCCACTTAAAGTTTGTTTGAGGTTGGGGAGAGGCAGTGGGCAGGTTGAAGAGCAATGCATATTTCATGGTGGATTTGCATCAGTAAATGATGCAGCTCTCAGTCCCACTGTGTTATTTAATATAGATATTGTATAAATCAAGTATGTAAGCATACATTCTTCTTTGTAGGATTTCCAAGACACTGTCGATACGCCTATGGATTTCAGCACTGTGAGAGAAACTTTGGAAGCCGGAAGCTATGGTAGTCCTCTGGAATTTTATAAGGATGTTCGCCAAATATTCAGCAACTCCAAAGCTTATACCTCTAATAAAAAATCAAGGGTACGAAAACTAATGTTAGATATTTTCATTATACAGGGTTTAATGATATGTGTCGAGCTGTGCTTTCAGAACTTTTGAAATTTCGAAATAAATAGACACTAGAGTTCTGACGTAGTTACTGAACCTTGTTATCACTATCCTGTCTGAAATATGACTTATTGGATGTGTATTAATATACACTCAGTCATTCTGAAACAACCATGTTGTTTTGTTCTTTCCCCCTTATCTTTACTCTTTAACTAGGAAAGGAGCTATAGTAGTTTGAGCTTTTAATAGGTCTGGTAACTGGATAAATACAAAGATGGTTGATAGAATTAATTTATATGAAATGTGTTTGTAGATCAGAATATTTATAGTCCATTGGGAAATTGTTCCTATTTATTCATACTCACAGTTAATATTTTCCCCATATTTTGTCAGTGGACATAATAATAATTTTTGCCTCTCTGAGTCACTGGTATCTGATTGACTTTTAAATCACTTGCGCAGTAGTTATACATTTGGCCGCTTCACCTCATAAATCCTAATTTTTTACATTTGCTTTTCGACTCTTGATCTTGAATGTTACAAAAGGTCTGTTCTCTGCATAAAGTTTGGGAAATATAGAGAAGTACAAAGAAAAGAAGAGTCCTCTGTAGAGTCAAGCTCTTTTTATTTACCCTTAGCATTCAGTGTATATACTTCTAAGATTTCACTGATTCACATATATACTTACAAATGGTTATTCATTCCTTAAAGTAGTGGCTTTCATATTTTGATTACTTGTTTATAGCAAATATTATCCCATATAACTATGACTCTTTGAAAATAAGATTTTAAGTGTTTTATGTTAATTATTGTCCTCTTGCTAAACATTTAGGGTTTGTCTAGTTTTTCACTTTTACATGACTAGTGCTATGGCAAATATCGTTAATGTTCTTGATCATGAGTTTTGTGTCTGTGCAGTAATCTATGCAATTTCCCAGAAATACAGAGCATCATATCTTTAAGGTTTTTGATACAGATTGCAAATCGTCCTTTAAAATGTTTCATCTAAAATTCCCTTGATAACATGAAAATTTTGTATTTCCCTTTCTACCATGAAGTTATCTTTTCTAAACGTTTATTCATTTGGAGGTGAAATTATCTTAACACTTCAAGAATTTCTCAAGTGACTACTTAGTGAATTGATTTTGTGTGGGATTGTGATGCTGATGCCAATCAAGGTGTATTTGTACCATTCGGTGCCATTTAATCCAAGCAATTATGATTGTCATTTCCACCTTTACAGATCTATAGCATGACGCTGCGACTATCTGCTTTATTTGAAAGTCATATTAAAAATATCATCTCTGAATATAAGTCAGCAATCCAGAGTCAGAAGCGGAGAAGGCCACGGTACAGAAAACGTCTAAGGAGCAGCAGCAGTTCATTGTCTAGTAGCAGAGATCCTAGGTATGCCATATGGATGGAGCGTTTCATGTTTTCAAAGCACTTTGTATGTTTTGACTCGCTTCTGAATGTTTCTGAACAGTTTATGAAGATCTTGAGATACTTGTACCCGTGTGGATTTTACCATATATGAGAAACTTATTCTAGTGGTTGAAGTTTATTTGTCAGATTATCAATTTGAGGCATTTTGCTTGGATTTTAGAGCATTTCTTCTTTGGTTAGCTTAAGCATTTCACCTACTGTCTACCATGATGTGTTGTGAATGGAAAAATTCCTCATTATGATGTTTTTTTTTTCTTACAGTCCAAAAGGGAAACAGAAGCAAATGAAGTTGCAGCCTAAAAATGACCAGAATACCTCAGTGTCTTATGCCAGGACTAGCTCTCCTTTTTCTTCCCCCGGTAAGTGTACGTTTATTTTGGGTGTTCTGTAGGTCAGTTTCATACTGCTATTAAGCATCTGAAGCAACATGGTTTCTAGAAACAACCACAGTGATTTTACATTTAGAAAAATTATAGTTTAATCCCATTCTGCTTGCTAGCTATGTGGCCCTGGATAAGTTATGAGGCCACATTATTTGCATTAATTTTGAAGTTTTTTGGCTTTAAAGTTCTGTGACTTTCATTTTTTAATGCCTCTATTGTGTCTCAGTGCACGTATCTACATTATATTTGCCAAAGTAAAAATTTGTGGATTCGTCACATGTGCTGGTGGATTCCGTGGATAAAGTTTTTCACATTTTTTCCTTAAAAGTTTAATGATGGTGAAGCCGTTTGTTCTCAAAACATTCTCACCTCTTTCATAGAACAACACAGTCTTGGGGTTAGAACAAAATAGTTGAGATACAGTTTAAAAGCAGTCAGTTTAACTTGCCTGGAAACAACTATGTTAACAATCTTTTAAAATGCAAGTTTCAGATGCTGCTGAAGGCCTTTCACTGTATCTACTTGATGATGAAGTAGATGGGCCATTTTCCTCTTCGAGTTTCAGTGGACATAGCAGAAGTGGAAATAGCCATGAAGCAGGGAAAGCCAAATCATTTCGAAATAGAGTTTTACCAGCTAAACAAGGTAGGAAATAAGCATGGGGGGTGGGGTACTTATTTTTTGTTTTCTAGTGAAAGAAGATGAGTCATTTAATAGCTAATGTATAAGAGTAGGAAAAACGGTATATCCTTATGGGTGAAGGAAATTTTGATGGTGCCAAATTTGATTTTGACAAGGTTTCATATCCACAGCTAGCAGGAAGCCACCAGCAAGTTTCTGATAACTATTTTGAAACATATTTTAGTTTTTTTTTTTTTTTAATTTATCTGAAAGAGGGAAAGAGACACAGAAAGAACTCTTCCTTCAGCTGATAACATTCCCCTATATGGTTGCAACAGTTGGAATTTGGCCACACTGAAGTCAAGAGCCAAGGCGGAAGCTCAAATGCTTGAGTTATCACCCTCTGCTTCCTGGGTACATTAGCAGGAAGCTGGATCAGAAATGGAGTTATTGGAACTGAAACCAGCACTCGGTTATAGATATGGGTTTCCCAAATGGAAATCCACTGTGACACAGCACTGGCCTCATATATTTCAGTCTTTTAAAATAAACAGGCAGAGAAAACTAAATGAAGAATTTTTTCCTTCAAGCACTTAAGAACTAGATTGTTAAACAGTTAGGAATTATCATAGAATAAACCATATTTGTGAGAAAGGAAGACGTTTCCTAAATCACCCTTAAATAGATCTCATATTTTTGTAGTTATTCCAGTTTGGAGAGGGAAAACGGACTGTCCTAGAATGGAATGGAACAATCTGGGCTGTTGAAAGAGTGCTTGCATTCAGTCCCCAGTGTCTGCAACTTTCCCATGTTTTTATAGTTCAGATAGTCTCTTCCCCTGACATGTCCAGAAACTATGTTCAGCACTTTTAAAGCATGCACTGATTTAGTTTATTGTCATGTACATCTAGCGTGGACCAAGATGTGAGTTACAATACATAGTTGGAGGCTGTTTTTCATGCTTTCTGCTTATACTTAGTCCAATATTACAGACCTTGCACATGCTCAGAGAAATTTCTTGTATTAGAGTACCAACTTTATTTTGTATCCATTTTTAATGAAATATTAATCACTGTATTCATTTTACATTAACATCAAATTACTTTAAAATAGACTTTTCAGAGATGAGCATTTGGCTTAGCAATAAGCCATTAATGCTTGCTCCTAATGTAGGAGTGTCTAGGTTCAGTTCCAGTTCTCGTTCTTATGCTGAAACAAACTCTCCTTTCTCATCTCAAGGAAATGTACTTTTGATTTGGCGATTCTGTATCTCAGGTTAATAATCTATCATATAGAGGAAGCAACATTTTTTATATTACAAAGATCAATGAACGCAGGTTTGAAAAGGTGCTATACTATTTCTAGTTTTGCTTGCTAGCTGTGCATCCCTGGATAAGTTGAGAACACACAACTGACTACATGAATACAATGTCTACTAGTTGTAAAGCTCCGTGACTGTGCTTTTTCACATCTCTTATATCTCCGTGCACTCCGGGGCAGTGTATTTGCCAGAATCAGGTTTAGTGATTCAGTTTGTGGATTGGTGACGCCAACTTCCTACTGAAGTGGACCCTGGAAGGCAGTGCTGATGGCTAAAGTTGTTGGGTGCCTACCAACTCTGGGGGACTCCTTGACTGATTTCTAGGCTTCTGGTTTTGTCGTGACCCCGTGTCTGTCTCCCTTTCCCCCCATTATGGGCTGTTGGGGAGTGAACTACCATATTAGGGAGTATATTTTCTTTCATTCCCTCTCACCCTCCTTCCATTCCTGCTTCTCTTCCTCCTATTTCTCTCTTCCTCCTTTTCTTCCTTACCTCTCCTTCTCCCTTTCAATAGATACATATATATGTTTAAAAATACACTTCCCAGATAGGAATTATATATTGCTTATATTGATTATCTGAGGACTGTTGAAATACACCCAATGAAACAGTGAGCACCATTAATTTGCTCACCTTTTGTCATCAATACTGTTGCTCATTGCATGCTAGTGTCAGCGCTTTCTTTGCCCTTCCCTTTATTGCCAAATTTTTATAAATAAGAGTGCCTGTGATTCCTCTGTTTTCTTTTTATCCATGTATTTCTTTGCACCTCGCAGTCTGGCTTTTGCCACCTTCCTTCTCCAAGAGCTCTTTCCCCCTGAAAGTCACCTGTAGTCTTCTACGGTCAACCAGTGTGCTTAGTGCATGTGTCCTTGAACTCTTATTGTAGGAATATCACTGCCTCCTGTAGGGATCTTGGCTTCTGCACCGATTCTTCTATTATTTCTGTTTCTCATATGTTTTGGCTTCTATTTTTCCTCCTGAGGCCTTATCATTTGCAGGTTTTCCCTCTGTTTTTATTTCTCATTTTTTCTACTATAAATAATATAATGACCATATCATTCATCCTGAGGTTGATTCTCCAGGTGCGTATTCCATGCCCAAGCATCTGTTATTCTACCAGTCTAATTTCCAATTGCTTCCTAAAAATTCCCTTGGGTGCTTATCATCTTTGCATCGCAAGCTGGCTTGTTTTTTTCTGTGCTGCTTTAGTTAATGACATCATCATCTTCCTAGTCATTCAGCTGAATGGCTTGCGGTTTTCCTTTGACTCTTGATTTTCCTCATATCCAGTCAGTCATCAAGTTGTGTGAATTCTGAAACGCTCTTACACCACATAACTTTTAAAAAAACAGATTCATTTCATTTTTATTAGAAAGTTAGATATACAGAGAGAAGGAGAGACAGAGAGGAAGATGTTCCGTCTGTTGATTCACTCCCCAAGTGGCCGCAATTGCTGGAGCTGAGCCAGTCCAAAGCCAGGAGCCAGGAGTCTCTTCTGAGTCCTCCATGCAGGTACAGGGTCCCAAGGCTTTGGCCTGTCCTTGACTGCTTTCCCAGGCCACAAGCAGGGAGCTGGACGGGAAGCGGGGCTGCCGGGATTAGAACTGCTGCCCAGATGGGGTCCTGGTGTGTGCAAGGCGAGGACTTTAGCTGCTAGGCTATTGTGCTGATCCCAGCTTTCTAAAGGTTTTTTGTTTGTTTGTTTGTTACAGATTTTATTTTTTTTCATTTTATTATTATTATCATTTTATGATGCAGTTCCATATCCCCTTATCCCCTCCCCTATTCCCTCTCCCCCACCTAGTTCCTTTATATCATTACTAACATAGTTCTTTATACACATTCATATGTCCATCATTGCAGCCATGGACAATGGCAGAGAGTTCAGAATCCTATTGTCAAGATATAATATAAACAGTTTCATTGTAAGTCCATCTTTGGAAGCAGAAATGCATGCTATGCTATATCCTCACATCTGGATGTTAGTCTCCATTTCACAGCTACTGTACATCCCCTTAAATGAAAAGTCATGATACAAAATCAACAATAGAAAGAAAAATAGAAATTTACAATGCCATGAAGTTAAATGACATGTTACTAGATATGACAATCTCCATGACACAGCTACTATACATCCCCTTAAATGTAGAGCCACAAAACAAAATCAACATCAGGGAGAAAAAAGAAATTAACAACACCAAGAAGTTAAATAACATGCTATTAAATGACTAATGTGTAGCTGAAGAAATGAAAATCAAGAACCTTCTTCAAGAAAATGATGCCACTGCATGATCTATGAGTCATTGAATGATTTAATCAGAAGAAAGTGTTTTGAAGAGATGAAACCAACAGAAAACATTAAATCCATGTGATAGAGGTTCTGCTGATCTTTGTTGAAGTGTGTCTCCTCCGGACAATAACTGGATGGGTTTTGTTTTTTAATCCAGTCTACTAATCCAAGACGTTTGCTTGAGCTTAAGCCATTTACTTTCAGAGTTAAATATACATGGGTGGTTCTTTGGTCCTGTCATTTTAGGAATGGGTTGTTCATTGGTTTAGTCTTCTGTTGTCATTTTACTGGGATGTTCTTCCCGTTTGCCTTTGGTTTTGGTAGGTGCTATTCCTCTTCTCTGTCAAGAGAACATCTTAAAGTATCATTTGTAGGGCAGATTTGAAAGAGGCAAATTCTTTTAACTTTTCTTTACTGTGGAAGAATTTTTTTCATTTTCAAAGAAAGCTTTGCCGGATATGTTATCCTAGGCCGAAAGCCGGATATGTTATCCTAGGCCGAAAATTTTTTTCTTTTAGAATCTGGAATATGTCACTCCATTCTCTTCTTGCCTGTAGAGTTTCCTGTGAGAGATCTCCTGTGAGTTTAATTGGCATTTCCTTTATATGTCAATTGATTTTTTTCCTTCCCATGCACATTTAAGGATCTTTTCCTTATGTTCAATTGAAGAGAGCTTGATGATCATGTGTCTTGGTGAAGATCACTTTTGATCAAGCCTGTTGGGAGGTCTGTGCCACTCCTGGATCTTGTTTCCCAATTCTTTCTCCAGATTAGTTGAATTTCCCTTATTATTTCATGAAATATATTTGTAAGACCAGTTTCTCTTTCTGCACCTTCTGGGACTTCCATAACTCTTATATTAGACTTCTTAATAGTGTCTTTCAATTCTTGAATACTTTTTTTGGCCTGATCCAGCTCTGCTTCCAGCTTTCTGTTTGCTTCTCCCTGGTGACAGGAAATATCTTCCAGTTCTGAGATTCTTTCTTCTGCTCGCTGCATTCTATTTTGGAGACTCTCCACTGTCATTTTAATTTGCTCTACTGTGTTCTTAATTTCTGATATATTAGCCTTGATTTGCTTTATTGCTGCCATTTCTTATGTAAAATATTCCTCACATTCTTTGAACTCTTGTACGTGCTTCTCATTTTTGATCAGAAGCTTTAAAATGAGTTTTATGAATTCTGTGTGCCCCATTTTCTAGATTTCTTCCTCAGTTAACTCTGATGTTGGCAAAGGGTTTTGCTGCTTTGTAGGGGAGTTTTCAGTAATACTCATTGTGCCTTTGTCTCTTCTTTTGCTCTTGATCATTGCACTTCTTGTTAGCAGAGTCTTCTTGGGGCAGGTTTCTAAGCTGTGTCACCTCAGGTCTACAATGTGATTTTACTTATTGCAGTTGGTACACAACTTTTTGCTTGTAGCCTATTATGCCAGAACCTCCAGCAAGTTCCAGGTCTGGGTTCGTATGTCAGATATCCACCGTGGTCTCCACAGCCCCAGCTCTTGGCTCACCACTCTCTACCTTCTGTGATACCGTGCTGAGGCTGCACTGTTGTCTCTGCAACCTTTTTCCCACTTCCGGTTGTAGCAGGTCCCAGGAGTTGAGAGACACCAGGTGTCCTATCTAGTTAGGTTGGTGGTGGTGTTGATCTTCCCGGAACCTGTTGGACGTTATCTCTGGGTGCCACACAGACCTATTTTGACTTGTACGATGCCACAGTCGGTATTGTTTTTCTGCGGGACCAGTGCGATCCACGGAACTCAGTGAGTTCTCGCGAGCTCAGTACTTGTGCAGTTCACTGCTGTCCCCTGCAGTCCCAAAGCTATTGCCACAGTGCACAAAACGGTGCCTGAGGTACCACCACTATGTTCTTGATCTGCCAGCCGGCAGATCCGAGGGCTACCCAGACCTGCCCCGGATGGAACCCGTAGCATGACACATCGATGCAGTTCACTTAGTCAGAAATGAGTTCACTCCCAGTTTAGCACATGCTCAGTCCTTTCCCTTGCCCTTTCCTCTTTACGCAAAATGGCGCCCAATTTAGCTCTAGGGTGCTGACTGGCCTATGAAATCCACCCTGTTCTCTTACTTCCCATCTAGAATCTGCTGCTCTGTCTCTGCTCCTGATCAAATCAAAGGAACCAGCAGGAAGGACAATTCTTTGTCTGGGTTCACTTCCCAAGCTCCCAGTGAAAGTCCCTTCCCACCTGGTTGCTGGTGGAGTTCCAGCTACTGGTGGAGTTCAGATTGCCGTTAGCTGAATGCCGCTGGAGTATCAGTCACTGCAACACCAGACCGTTGTGTCTGCTGCTTTCCTGTGTCTGTCAGTCTCCAGGTACCCCTCTGCTGTTGTTCTGTTCTCTCCTATTTCCTGGAATGTGTCCTCTCTGCTTCATGCTGATTAAATGTTTTTCTCTCCGTTTAAACGCGTCCTTACTCTATTCCGCCATCTTGATTCTCCCCCAGCTTTCTAAAGTTTAGCTGCTATCACCTTGAGCTCTAGCCTAGTGTATTATGCAGTTCCGGATGCCACAGTAAGAGACCACAGACTGGACAGCTTAAAGAACAGGCGTTGATTTCCTCACAGTTACAGATACTCCAGGTGCCATAACCGTTAGCATGTAAGGGGTTTTCCTCCTGGCACATGGCCGCTTTCTGCTTGTGATCTTTTTTCTGTGAGAAGAGAGTCTGAATTGTAGCTCTGTATCTGTGACCTCACTTTGCCCCTTGTAAACCTTCGGATTGGATAGTCCTTCTCAATGATCTTTGCTAGTTTTTCTTTAAGAGTTAGAGCATCCCAGGTCTCAGGCCTCAGGCACTTTTCTTTGTTTACTTGCTCCTCCAGTGGACTCTCCCAGTTCTCAAGATCCTAAATATCATCTCTTTGCTGAAGTTTTACAAAATGATGTCTCTAGTTCCGTGCTCTGAAATCCAGACTAACGTATCTACTTGCTGTTTTAAAGATTCATTTTTATCTAGAAGGCAGATTTTACAGAGAGAAGGAGAGACACAGAGAGGGAGAGATCTTCCATCCCCTGGTTCATTCCCTAAATGACCACAGTGGCCAGAGATGAGCTGATCTGAAGCCAGGAGGCTGGAGCTGCTTCTGAGTCTCCTCCCTGGGTGCAGCAGCCCCAGGACCTGAGCCATCCTTCATTGATTTCTCAGGTCATAAGCAGAGAGATAAGCAGGGAGATGTTGACCCTCCAGGCTGAAGGTTAAGCTACTATGCCACTGTGCTGCCCCCAGATTGTTTCCTATTTAAATTCTATATTTCCTTGGGACATTTAAAACTAGAATCTTCTTTCAAGCCTCTTTCCAGATTCTTCATTAAGTTTTTCTAACAGCAAATTATCCCTTCCATTCACACCATTGCTCAAGCCATGATTTCTAGGCGTCTACTTTGATTCTGTTCTTAATAGTCTGTTCTTTGCTTAATATCTGATCTATCAACGAATCCTGTTAGCTAAAGTGCAAGTTTGTTCTTCATGGTTCTTATAGAAGGAAATGTTCCAAATCAAATTAATTATCATGACCTCTGCTGGTACATCCATTATTATGTCATACATAACCTACTGCAAAGGATTCCCAACTGGTCCCTGCTTTCAGTCTTGTCTTCTCCACAGTCTGTTGTTTATAGACCAACCATAGTGCCATGGTACTATTTTTAAGATGTATACCATAGGGCTGGTGTGGTGGGAGGTACAGCTGTCACCCATGATGCCAGAATCACACATGGGAGCCAGTTTTTGTTCTGGCTGCTCCAGCTCTGATCTACTTCTCTAATAATGGCCTGGGAAAAGTGGCAGAAGATGGCTCAAGTGTTTGGACCCCTGCCCTTCATCTGGAGGAAGCAGGTAAAACTCCTGGCTTCAGTGTGGCCCCTGCTGACTGCTGTGGCCATCAGAGGAGCGGCTGGAAGAGCTCTGTGTCTCTCCCTCTCTCTGTGGCTCTGCCTTTGAACATGAGTCTTTCCAAAAATGTATATCCTAGCAGATCCTTTCTTTTTCTAGCTTCAAGCACTCCCCCTGGAGGTCATCTGCAGTATTGCCTCTTTTCCTGGGTTTCAGTCTAGTTACAGTATCACCTGTTTATTCTACAGTGTTCTTTCCTTAGATCTCACTTCATTCAGTTCTTCTTTAAATACTACCTCTACACAGGAGTCCTCATGTCTAAGATACACCCCACAACACATATGTGCACACGTACACACTCACTTGCTTTTTCTAGCATGCATCATCATAAAGTGAATTTTCTCTCTGTTCCTTACCTGTGCAAAAGCAAAGGCTTTGTCTCACTTAACTTCTTGCTCTGATACTGTCCCGTGCATTTAGCCCACCTGTAGACATTATAAAGTTTTTGATACTTGATTTTGCATCTGAATTGAACCATTTATTGATGTCAGAGTTTAATGTTTGCAATTCCTTCGTTTTGCTTTAGATCATTCTCTTGATGGACCCCTTATCAATGGTGATGGCAGAGAGCCCCGGACAGGAATGAAGAGGAAGCTACTCAGTGCATCAGAAGAAGATGAAAGCGCGGGAGGAGAAGAGAAAGAGAAGAAAGAAACAAAAGAAAAATCCCACTTGTCCTCCTCCGAGAGTGGAGAGTTGGGATCCAGTTTAAGTTCTGAAAGTACTTGTGGTTCTGATTCTGACTCCGAATCAACTTCCAGAACAGATCAAGATTATGTAGATGGAGACCATGACTATAGCAAATTCATACAAACTAGACCTAAAAGAAAACTCAGAAAGCAACATGCCAATGGAAAAAGAAACTGGAAGACGAGAGGCACGGGAGGAAGAGGCAGATGGGGCAGATGGGGCAGGTGGAGTAGGGGAGGCAGAGGGAGAGGAGGCAGAGGCCGGGGGGGTCGAGGAAGAGGTGGAGCTGGCACTAGGGGCAGAGGGCGAGGGAGGAGAGGACGAGGTGCTTCTAGAGGAGCCACCAGAGCCAAGCGAGCCCGGGTTGCCGATGATGAGTTTGATACAATGTTTTCAGGACGTTTCAGTAGACTGCCTCGGATTAAAACGAGAAACCAGGGCAGGAGAACTGTTTTATATAATGATGATTCTGATAATGACAATTTTGTGTCCACTGAGGATCCTCTGAATCTTGGTACATCCAGATCAGGCAGAGTGCGTAAAATGACAGAAAAAGCCAGGGTTAGCCATCTCATGGGATGGAATTATTAACAGTTAATAAATTTAGAATAATTTAAAAAAAAAATTCAATGGCCTTCTACTGCAGGGAATCTACCAGGAAATCTACAAAGCAAGTTGTCTGGGGACTTCTGCTTCCTTTCACATTGGTGCTTTTCCATTATGCCAGTATATGTTTGTTTCAAGACTTTTAATCTCCACACTTCATTTATTAAAACAAGCCTTACTCATTAGGCCTTAAATTAAAGGAAATTCTTCCCACATAGACATAGCTGCACATACGTGTGCACACTCACTCACTCACTCTCTCTGTCTCTCCCTCTCTCTCTCTTTCTCTCTCTCTTTCACACACACACACACACACATACACACACACTACAGATTTACTACATTAAAGGAGCATTCAGCTTCTCAAGAGTAGCATGATGTTTTTATCTCAATGGAATATCCCTCTCTTTGCTTTTGTATCACAGAAGTATAGCACCTTCTTACAGAGTTTTATATAGTTTGTTTTTGCCATTTTGATTCCTATACCCAGTAATAATAACTTTTGCACAATACACCAATCCTAAAGGCAGCTATTAAATGTTTACAGTTTATATATTGTAAGAACGATCTGGATTATTTTACTCTTCCCAGGCCAAACTTTCGTGAATTGTACTGAACTGAAGTATATATTTATACTACAGTTTTTTTGGGGGTGGGGGGATCTTGATACGCTTTTCATTGATTTGCTTAATTCACGTTAAAGGTGAGAAAGGGTTGGTGCCTTGTAAATATGTAGCAAATCTTTGTGGTGTGTCCTGATGTGTGCATTAACTTTATTAAAAAAACAAAAAAGAATACTTGAGGTATCAATCTAGACAAGGTGCCAAATGCAAAAGTTTCTTGCATCCATTTTCTTTTTCCTGTTATATTTTATTGCATTAGTAGAACTTGTGTAGCTTAAAGAATAACTTAAACATTTGAAAACTTCTCATCCACAAAGAATAACTTTTTGAATAGTAGCTCAGCTACCTCTGTTAACTACAACTACTGGAAATGTTAAGGAAAATAGATACTGTTATTCATGAATAAGGAGAAATAGAACAAGCTTGATAGGAATGAATGAACATTCCTAAATTATAAGCTGAGAGGTTGTTAATAATTGTATTGGCTCTTAAACAAATAGTTGTAATTAGCAAACTTCGTAAAGTATTCTCTGGTCTACCTTAGGCTTTCTTAGAACATACTTATGTAAGTCGACTTGGGGTGTGGCTCAAGTGTCTCCTCTACCACACGCTATTTAACTGCTGCGAGTTACTGGTTTTCATTTGAATCTTAGAAATTAGTGAAGCACCTAGTTTGAGTTGGAATGCTTTGGCTAGCTAATATTTCGAATCAAGTTTGATAGGTTTCGTTCTTACCATTCCAGAGGGTTCTTCTAGGCTTTCAGAAAAGAACCTCATTGCACTGCACACTGATATTTTCAATCATTTTACAGATTTAAAAAAAAAATCCTTTAAAACTCTTAAGGTCTTGTTTACAGCAGTAGAGTACACATGGTTTCATAAGTGAATTTGAGTTCCAAGATCAATTTTACTCCTCAAGATGGAGGCTGCAGATTTGCTAACTTGTTAAACTTGGAAATGTGTTGAGCTGAGAGGGATAATATTGATCTCTGTTTTTATGACAGCAGATTTGTTGCCCTTAGATCAGATTTGTGTGGTCCAACAGACTTCTCGTATCTGTAATTATCCCAGGATATTTCTTAATCTGTTTGTTTCATGCTTTCAGTCATTTCATGCATCTGAAAATCCTTAAGTGCAGAGGAAGGAGTGCACACATAACTTTGCTTTTTCAGTAGGGTTGGGGGTGGAACTTATTCTTGGACTAACATCTTTAAGCAGTTTTCACTTGCAGTAGAAATGATGTTTGGGCTTTAAGAAAGTATTGTTGTGAATTGTTGCTGGCACTAACTTCTGTTCCTGGACAGTAGACCAAGCTGATTTTTTTTTTTATAGCCTTTATTTTTTCCACTAAACCAAAATCACTATTTCTACTTATCACTCAGTTGCCACTTTTAATCATGCTATCAATTTCAAATGTTCCTGTTTGTTAAGTCTCGATTTGATTTTTTGTTAAAATACTCTGTTTCAGTTTCTCATCTCTTGGGCATTGCAACTAAATTGTGCCTGTGTTGTCCTGAAATCAATAACACTTCGACCTACCCCAATCAAAGTAATACAGTTACTTAAATACCTGGATATTCCCAAATGTGTATCGTGTATATCATTTTAGTTTGAAAAAAATTTTTTTTGACATTCTTCTATGAAGAGCTGACCTCTTGAATTGTAGAAGAATTGCCATTTGTGTGATTTTACCTATCTGGAGCTTTATTTATAATTTATTTTGAAAAATAAAAATGCCACATTTATTCCCCAAATGTCAAGATTTTCTAGGTTTAGATCATTAGAATAATAAGGCTAAAGACATTTTTAAGCATATTTTATATGTAGCAAAATACTGTGAAAATACTAGTGAACAGCATTTTGCTGTAATGTTAATTTCAGTTATTAGGATTTAAAGAGATAGTGACCCAGGGTATAATAGATTAGCATAGTTATCATTTATTATTGAACAAACAGATTATTTTCTGTTTGCATGCAAATTATTTTAATAAGTGTACAAATAAAAGTTTGGGAGATAGTATTTTTTACTTTCGTGTCTCAACTTTTCCCCCAATTTACTTTTTTTTAATAGCATTACCTCCTGTGAATGTGTCATAATTTGTATCACATTGAATACTTAATTGTTTTAATTTTTAGAGACCCTTTAGATCTAAATAAGATCTAGGTTCAGCCATAGCAAAGCAAGTAGGAAATGAGCTAAGAATTTTGGATATTTAAATCATAAAGGAAAGGTTAAGAAAAACCACTGTTATATTTAATGAGAGCATACACATGTATCAGCCTAGTCTTCTTCTAGATACGAATAGTCAGTGATCTGTAATATTTCTCAACAATGCTAGTAAGGCTTAAATTCGCAGCTTTAAGATCTTAGCATGTGTGTATATTTATACAAACTGAACTGTGTGTTTCCATGGCTTGCTATGTGTATCTCATCCAGCGATAGGATGGTCTCCAAAACATTCATGATCCTAATAACTAAATTTCCTTTTTGTCTGTGTCTGTGTGTGTGTGTGTGTGTGTGTGTGCGCGCGTGCTATGTGTATCTATGTTTTCCAACATGGCATACCTTCTCTCGTTTTAAAAAGAATATTTTATGTGGAGGACACTGTACCAGTTCTTTGCCTCTGAACAGCCCTTAGCTTATGTATTTACTGCTTAATGCTTTTCATTATGCCTGTTAGAGGACTGATCTAGGTTTTGTCATGTCCTTGTTCCCCTGCATTCTTTTAATTTGCTTCTCCTTTCTTTGTTTATTTTTTTCCCTTCCTCAACAATCAGGCTTGTGCTAGAATCCTGCCCAGCACTTTGTTCTGCCCAGAGGCAAGGAAACTGAAATTCATAAATCCCATTCTGCATAACTTTGTGCTCAGATATCTAACTCACCCTTCCAATATTTTGAAGTAAATTGGAATGACTTATCTTTAGTTGTTTTTGTTTTATTCCCATAGATTCTCATCACACAGTGATAAGGTGATTGAAAGAGAAAGATATGAATGGCACTTCTTTCTAATAAAACTTTTTGAGCATTTTCCAAAAATTTGTGTGCCTGTGGTCATGAGAAATACCTTATGGCATCATGTCTAATTTTCATGATACTTTGCAATTCAGTCTTTAAGCAATCACAGTAATTTTTTTGAGTTCTGAAGTGAGTAGCTCTGGATGAAGGGAATGAGCTTTTGACATTTGAAGCTAACTGTTTAAAATTTAACTCTGTCCACCACATTTTTGAGGTAGATGAGGCTTTATAAAGATTTTCTTGAAACTTAGAATATTATAAGGTCACTTTTAGAGTTTGTTTTAAAAAACTAGTGTAAAAATGTATGTGTGTGTGTATGTGTGTGTGTGTATGTGTGTTGAATTTTCTATTTTGTTTTGGTTTTTGCTTCTAGTAAAGCTTCTTTACCCAGTTTTGATTCAGTTCCAATATAAACGTGACTTGTTGATGGTGCTGTATTTTGTTGGCTAGCACTCAGGTTTCTTGATATTTATTTCTTACATAGCCTTATCCTTGATTCTTTCCCTTTTCATCTTGTCCTGCCTTGATCCTCTCCTCTCATTCTGCGATGAAGTCAGCACCTAACTCCTAACTTAGCACGCTTCCACAAGACTAGTCATTTCTGATTTTTTGATGGCATAAGTACAGTAGAAAGGCCTGGAAGTTGAGTTAAGGTGTTTTTTTTTTTAATATGTATGCCCATTTGTTACTCTTAGACCTATCTTCATTAAATCTAGAATATGAGACTTTGACATATAAAAGCATGATAAGTATTTTCTAAAAAAAAACAAAAAAACACAAAAAAGCTATTGAAACATTGAAATCGCCATTGGTAATTGACTTATGAAATTACATACAAAGATATTTAGAAACCCAGATGGGAAATGTGTTTATTCATGTGTCACCGGAGCCACCTTAGGCAGTACTACAAATGTTAATTCTTCAGCAGTACTGTGGTGATGGCAATCAGTAATTTATTTCTTTGTCCTGTAACTTACCATCCTTGTCTTTTGTAATACCTTATACAGTATTAACAAAACTGTACCTTATGTTTGTTCTTAGTATCCATAAATTTTAAGATGGAAAATCATTCAGTTAATAGTTGATGTGATGTTGTATATGGGCAAAATACCCGTCAAACTAAAATTCAGTAAAAAGAAAAAAAGAGGTAAACTAAACTTGCTTGGCTTATAAGATATGTTTTATTTTGCAGTTGTCAGTCATTATAAGCGATTATCTTTAAAGACAAAAAACTGGACTAATTTGTTGCCATTCTTTATGGGATGTTTACAATAAAATTCCAAGTTGTTTGGAATCAGTTGCACTCTTACTGCTTTATGCCTTAGCTCAAATGACCAGAGTGAAATTAACAACAAGAGAAAAGAGTCTGGAGTTAACCTTTCTGTTGTCCAGCTTTAGTTATTGTGACTTTTGGATCTTCCCTGGTTTGTCTGTCACAGGATATTGTGTTACAATTGTTTTTTAATCTGAAAAACTGGCTTGCTTCTTCCTATCAAAGAAAAGAATGTTTTGATTTATCTTTTGCCTTACTCGTTGCAAATATTCTTTGGTCACTTTGGGGTAATGATATGGTATTACCTGATAAATGTGTTTTATAAACAACCTACAAAAACGAAGTCAACACTTTGTTTTGCTTTTCCAAATGAACAGAGTTCTAATGTATTTGTGGCTTGTATTGCAACAGCTGAGCTATGAATCCTTTACATTTTTTGTTTGTAGCCAAATTGCCTACAAAGCTTAACCATGGTGCTTTAATTCAATGTAAGCATAGGTGGAAGAGAAGTGAAGGAAGGTGAATTTTGAGCCAGGACCTTGAATGCCTTAATAGGAACATTCATCCTTGGTCTAAACCTGTAAAATTACCCAGAACTTTTCTCCTGATAGCAAGACTTCTACTAGGTTCAGGATAAGTAAGTTTGCTAAAGACTGAACTGGATTTTTAAGACGTATGCTATCTATTTTGTATATTAAAAATCAAATAGTAAGGCATTGAGAAAAATGCCACCTTTATCATCTGACACTGTCTCCATTAAATATGAAAGTAGCCCAGGTTTTTGGAGTTTAAGAGTGAAGTAGAGATAAGCTGTTTAGTATTTTTATTTGCTTAACTGGTTACAGATAGACCCCTTTAAAATTGTAAAAGTATTACCTTAAAAATTCTTTGTTGATAGACTCCTGATGGTTTTTAACTGCAAAATTTCATAAATAGGAAAAGAATTTTTAAAAACATCATAACAGTATCCAGAAGATCTGTATTTTTTCAAGAAAAAACTGATCTTTTCCCTCTAAATTATGTACTGATAATTTAAAGCTACTTTCCAAAAATGCACAAAATAAACTGAAACCAAATATATGAGTTGACTTTTAATGGGATTTTTGATGGCATGGTTAACCCCATGTAATTATAGTTCTGATCTCAGTTGTTCTATATAAATAAATATTTAAGGGATTTAAAAAATTCTGCACTATGCTGGTAGACCAAATATATAACCTTAAATAAAGTAAAGACTTTATGTTGTCAATTTTTTTCCCAAAGTTTTGGGGGAATCGTTTCTTTTCTCTCTGACTTCAGTAGAGTTTTCTTTGCTAGGTGTTGTAGTTGCCTTAATAAAGTTACTTCTTACTTGAAAAATCAAAATACCTAATAGATGACTTTAACAAAATTATTATTAACCTTTAATTTGATCATCAGAGACTTTAGCATTCATTTATACATTTTTGGTCTTTAAATTTAAAACGTAGAATTGTGAACGTCTAGGGTACCATGTGATGCTTCAATACACATACACATATACATGTAAATATATCTAGATACTCAACTATTGAATAGTTCTTTTTGGTAAGATATTTGAACTTTCAATCCTAAGGGTTCCCCCCCCCCCCCCCGCAGCAATATACAGTACATTATCCATAGTTACCTACTTTCAAATACTAGAATGTACTACCCTTATCCGAACTTAATAGCTGTTAACCAGCTTTTCCCAAACCTCCCTTCCCCCTCCCGCCCCCTGCCCAGCATTTTTAAGGTTTTCTCAAAAACTAGTAAGTTTTGTGGGATGAATATATGAATATGCAAAACATTTTTTTAAATTAGAGATTTATTTTGAAAGACAGAGTTACATGGAGAAAGAGAGGCGGGACTTTTCCATTCACGAGTTCATGCCCAAAATGGTTGCAAGGTGTGGACCTGAGCCAGGCTGGAGCCTGGAGCTTCCCCTGGGTCTCCCATGTGTGTTATGGGGCCCAAGTACTTGAGTACTGAGCTATTGTCCGAACAGGGTAGCTGGATCAGAAGTGGAGCAGTAAGGATTCAAACTGGTGCCTGTATGGGATCGTGCTGCAGGTGTAAGCTGCTGAATCACAGGGAAGACACCAGTGAGAACTTTTCAAGTTGCTTTGTTTAGATAAACAAATGTTGATTGGTGGGGTTTACTCATTCACACAGGTTTACGGTTGATTTTGTAATGAAGTGCTAATAGTTCACAATTGTTTGCATTTTAATTTTTTGAAACGATTTTTACTTGAAAGGGTTATGGAGAGGAGAGGCGGATAGAGGTCTTCTGTCTGCTGGTTCTCTCCCCAAATGGCCACAGAGGATAGAACTGAGCTGATCCAAACCAAGAAATTCTTCCTGGTCTCCTTATATGGGTGCAAGTGCCCTTGAGCTATCCACTGCCTTCCCAGGCAATAAGCAGGCAGGTGGATCAGAAGTGGAGCAGTTGGGACACAAACTCGCTTATGTGGGATGCCAGTGTTAGAGTAAGAGGATTAGCATATGCCACAGTGCTGGCCATGTGTATGTTTATTTTATGAAGTAAAGCCAAATTGTATATTAGTCTAAATGTGAATTTTGTGTTATCTGATCCAATGGAACAGAAAATAATGCTTTTCATGTTCTTATTAATTTTGCCATCCTGGATGTTGGTGTTCATTTTTATTCTAAATGTGATCAGTATTTTTATGACAAAGATGAGTAACTATTAAGGCAAAACAATAGGTCAAATTTGGTAGATTAACTTTGTTGCCAGTTACTTCAACAATTTCCACATATCAGACTGGTTTATTTCAGTAAGCATAATGGCTTTCAGTTACATCCATTTTGTTGCAAAAGATGGAATCTCATTCTGCTTTAATGACTATTATTTCATAGTGTATACTTCATCTTTTCTCTGTCCTTTTACCAGTGGTAATTTATAGGCTTTTTTATACATATTATTTATAGCTTAATAGCTATTGATTAAAATAGCTAAAGGAAGATACAATTTCTGCATACACTTTGCTTATAAGTCAGCATTTCCCAGTTACTTTCTGTGTTTCAGGCTCTGTAATTAGGTTAACAGCTTGCAAAGTCCATCTTGGTTTCAGGCACTGGAATGGCACCATCAGTTAATTGCATTTTTTAGATGAAATCAATTAGTCTCGGTGTAATCAAGTCATTTCAAGTAAGGCCCCATAAGTAGAAAAGACTTGATTCATCCGTGATACCTGCTTCCAGAACCCCAGTCTTAGTTTTTCTGTATTACTGGAGTGAAGTTTGCTTCTGTTTTCTTCAGTGGCTGTAAAATGGAGACCATTAAATCATAACACATGAATCTTTTTAAAAAAGATTATTAATTTTTATTTGGGAAGTCAGATTTACAGAAAGGAGAGACAAATCTTCTAAGCTCCCCAAGTGGCTGCAACGGCTGGAGATGAGCTGATATAAAGCTAGGGGCTTTTTCCAGGTCTCCTACGTGGTGCATGGTCCCAAAGCTTTGGGCCATCCTCTACTGCTTTCCCAGGCCACAAGTAGGGTGCTGGAAGTGAAGTGGGACAGCCAGGATATGAACCGGTGCCCATGTAGGATGCCGGCATATGCAAGGTGAGGAGTTTAGGCACTAGGGTATCATGCTGGGCCCCCATAACATGCCTTTTTAAGATGCCATTTCCTCTTAGTTCTGCTTCAAATCATTCAAGATGTAGATCTTTAGGCATCTTAACAATTTAGGGAGGAGTGGTTGGTGGCTAAATTTTAAGAGGTAAACTTTAAAGTTTTAGAAGTAGAAAAGTGAATGAAGCTGAAGTGCTTATCTTTCACAAACTTGCATAAGGGTTAAGTGCCCAGGCATATTGTGGAAAATTTGTTCTGATCTTGCTATGAGGACCACTTCAGCTAATGCACACAATCAATAATTGCTGTAGTCCCTAGTATACCGTCCTCTGCCAGGGCAAAATCTGAAACTGTTTATCCTCATCTGTGTTCAAGTGCCTTCCACGTATAGTTTTCAGGTGAATGCATTGTGAATTCATGGCTTAATCCTAAATTTAATTTAGACTTTTAATTTTTTTTCTTTTGGTGTTTTTTGAACTTATATTCTTGGAATTACCTCTGGGTATTAGTCATTTTTTTAATAATGTGTCATCCTCCTTTATACCCCCATTAAAAATACCTCAAATCCAGAATGTCCAATGCAAACAAGAATATTTCAAAAAGAAAATGTTTACTAACTCAACTTTTATATACCAATCCATTTCTGGCATCATTTTAACTTGGCTTTTTAATTTTTTTCCCCAAAGGAAGACTTTGGGAAAGAGATGGTGGTTGGTGAGGGTTTGAGTAAACCTGGAAAAAAAAGTCAAATGAATATGAACACCTGCTTACTTTAATTTTGTATCAGTTTTGACAAAGAATGTGTGATTGTTGGTGAAAAAAAACGGCTTAACTAATATAACTCTGGACTCCTGCATTTGCTCTGTATTCTCAATGAACTAGAATTTGCAGTGAATTTTGAGAACCTATTAGGCCTGCTCATGTTGCATTTGATTCAAGGTGTTCAGTTGTTTCATTCATGTTTCATATTGCCACCATCTTTCCTTTTTAAACACCTATCCATTCTGATCTTTATCCAGGTATTAGTTTTTAGAAGATAGACTGCTGTAATCTCAAAGATGACTATAAAGATTAAACAGGGAATAGATGATATTAATTTTCTCTGGGCTCACTACCCAATGTTGAGAATGTCTTTTTTCCTTTATTTAGGGTCTGAAAAGAAGAGGGTTTGTATCTCTAGCTTGGTAGAACACAGTAGGTTTGGCTCTCTGATTACACCTGTAGTAATCTCTGTGCAGGTCCAAATGTAACCTGGAAATGTAGGTCAGAGCTTTGTGCTGTGGTTAGACATTCTGTCACCTGGCTTGACAACATTGAGATGTAAACAGTGTGACCTGGAATCAAGTACTATGGTTTTGATTGGGGAACAAGGTAGAAAAGCTAAAGAAATCATTGAGATCTTTCTAAGATTCATATTTACTAAAGAGAGGATGGTTTGGAGCTTGATAAGGCATAACAATCTCTAGTGTTTTGGGTTTGAAAGTCAATGCCTTCAAGCACAGCAGCCATACATCACCTGAAGCAAGCTTTGCAAAAATCTCATCTGAGGGGTGTGTGTGTGTGTGTAGGCCTGGTGTGTGTAGACCTAAGGCAGGTATGTGTATGTGTGTAGATCTGGTGTGTGTAGACCTGAGACGGGTGTGTATGTGTGTAGAGCAGATCACCTAAAGCAAGCTTTGCACAAATCTCACCCGAGGCGGTCTCCTGGGTGTGCTTAGACCTGGAGAGCAGGGTTTGCAAAGGGATTATTGGCAGTAATGGTGACATTCTTGTGATTATTGTATCAGTTATAATGGTTTTATTTCTTGAGGTCTTAATCCTATTTGATAGAGATTTTAACTTTTGCAGATAACAAAACAAGTATAGAATCAAAGGAACTTTCCAAATGTATTGCTGATAATCAATGGCAGAACTTACACTAGGATTTATTTCCAAACTCTGTTTGCTTGGTTATTAGCAAATGCCACTTCCCGCTGGACTATTATTAATCCTGCCTCTGTCAGATTTGCAAAGTGGTTTTGGCTAAGTCTCTCATTTGACGTAGTTTCAGTTGTCTTAGGCTGTATGAGACTGAAGTTGACGATCAAATTATTTTACAGTCCTGATTGTTCCTTCAAATTTCTTGTTTCGCCTTTCTTTCTTCATCTTCCTAGTCTCCAAACCATATTTCCATGGGAGGCTTGATTTTCATAGGCTTTTGATGAACTCTGTTTCCTACTGGCTAGATGGCGTGTGTGGGGGGCAAGTAAGATCTGTTACCCATTCAACAAATCACTTCCTCAGAAGCCTTCAGCAAAGACAGTGGCATGGTTTGAATCCAAGGTTGGCTATGCTTCAATAGCCGTTTCAGCTGACATTCTGTGACTATTTGCCTTAGAGAATTTGTAGTAGCAGGATCTTTGAAATGCTCCTTGGAGGGAACGGTGCACGAATGCAAGCAGTTCAGATGGAACACTAGATGGCAGCAGCAGGAACAGATTGAAAAGCAGGAACAAGAGAGCTACATGCCCTTGACCAATCCCTCCTTCCTGACTGTCCATTTACCTTATTTTCATAATGAAACAATATTCATCATTGAAAAAAAAAACCCATTAGGTTAATTGTTAACCAAAACTTTTCCATATTTATTCAACACA